GAAACGTGTAGAACATTTGATTTGTATTTATTTGATTTGCGTAATTTTTTTTTTCTTTGGAGATTTTACAATGATTTTTTCTGAACCATATAATAGGTGGAAAAAGGTCAAGAACGTTATAGCCGCCCAGCCTTGATCAGGGGAGGCAGGCACCCCAAAGCGCCAAACTCTTATATTGCCTATGAGTGAATTTCTGGAGAGCAGAGTTAACTTTGTTTTTACCGTACTTCACTATATAATTCATTTTTATCACTTTACATATGTATAGCTGAATCCCAAATGTTGTCTGAATCTTGTTTTAAAAATCCAATTTACCTGTTTTTCTCAGAAATGAACCCTTTCCCTGTGTTGCAGGCACTGTTTACCGTGGGGTTAAATTAAATCTTTTTTTAAACATTTTTTATTTAAAGGAATACTATAGGTATAAAAACAACTTTAGCTTAAAGGAATACTATCTCAATGAAGTGGGCTGCAATGTTTTCATTGTAGGGTTAAAACTTCTCCTCTAGTGGCTGTCACACTGACAGCTACTAGAGGCACTTCCATGGCACTGACCAATTAAAACATCAGTGCTTTCCTATGGTAATGTTTGAATGGATGTGCGGTGCGCTCAGCGCATGTGCATTAGGTCCCCAATGCTCCCCTAAGAGGAGCGTTGGATTAGACATCACTGAGTTGGCCATGCATTTTCCGTGACGGCACCTAGGGGGGAAAGCATTTTAATGCACCTGGGCGGAAGACCTGCTTACAAATAGGGACAGGAACACTATAGGTTAGGAATACAGATTTAGATTCCCAACGCTATGGAGTACCTTTAATAAAGCAGTTTTGTGTATAGATCATGCCCCTGCAGTCTCACTGTTCAATTCTCTGCCATTTAGGAGTTAAATCACTTTTGTTTACGCCTTAAAAGGAACACTATAGGGTCAGGAAAACAAACGTGTATTCCTGACCAATAGTGTTAAAAAAACATGTTAAGCATCCTGCCCGCCCTTACCCCCCTAAAAAGAATGAAAATTCACCTTTATTCCTTGGCTTAAATCATCAGAATTGACAATCTCAGTCAATCCAATGCTTTCCCATAGGAAAGCATTGTGAGGCTGCCGCACTGTGCCAATCAGCATCTTCTCGTAGAGATGCATTGACTCAATGCATTTCTATGGGGAAAGTTCAGCACCTCCATGCAAAGCATGGAGACGTTGAACGTCACTGCAACATGTTACTGCATATTGATGCTCTACTACAGTAATATCAGAGTGTAGCAGTATTATCCCCACTAGTGGATATAGGTGCAGGCAGAATTACTCTTGCAGATCCCAGTAGAACATGAAATGACAGAGCACAATCCGGGGCCAGGAACAATGGGTAAAAAAATATAATAAAATTAAATAACAATAACAAAGGCTAGCAGGCTCATTGGAGGAACCTCAATGCTTTATTGGTAAATACACTAAAAAAAAAAAAATTAATAAAAGAACCCAACAACATATTTCAAATAGGAAGGAGGGTTCCTGGCATGCGTATATATATATATATATATATATATATATATATATATATATATATTTAGGGGAAGCACAACATTGAAAAAAGGTGGTTTGATGACATCATGGTCACATGACCATGTTTTCAGACATAATGATATTGATTGCATATATATAAAAAATGCATAGTTACATAAAATATTAGTAACTATAAAATAGTACATCAAACTATATAATAAAATGCAGAATCGAACATAAGAAATAAAGTTACAAGTATATTTTATGTGGTCACGTGATGTGGATAAAAAGGGGCTTATCGCGGACCAAAAAAATAAAAAGGAGTTAAGGTCGATTTAAAAAACAAGCTTAAGTAAAAGGGAGACAAATAAAAAAAATATGGACTAATTATATTAAGGGGCACCTGGTAACTAAAGCTGCCAGGAAAGATGTGGGTAATAAGCAACATGATTGGCAAAGAGGAACTGGTAATATGGCATGAGTGATGTGACTCGCCACAGCGGCCACCTTAGAAAAGGAAAAAAAGGGTCCAGATTGCCATAAGTACCAGAAGACCATAAGAAACTGGCTAAAGAAAAGATGGAATGAAAGGACCCACTAGTGGGTGACCTTATAGATGAAATGTGTAGTAAAATAACAAAGCTCAGTGAGCTTTTGTAGAATCTGTTCAACACTTGGGTCGCAGGTTCAAATCCCGGAAGGGTTGACTCAGCCCTTCATCCTTCCGAGGTAGATAAAATTATTCTTATTTAATTATTTATATAGCGCCATCACATTCCGTAGCGCTGTACAACGGGATGAGTTACTGTTAAATTGGGTAATAGTAACAACCCCTGGATGTTGGGCTAAGGTAACATCCACAGGACGTATGTGAAAACCAGAGTAATCTGAAGGTACCTTTCCTGGTTAAATACTTTGTTATTACTATTTTAAAATTACCTTGTGCCCTGCACTCGCTGCTCCCAGTCTTGTGTTTGCCTTGGTTTTGCCTCCAGCCAATTCATATATTCCAAGAAGAGTGCACTCGAAGGACTTGGTAGAAAATCAAGTGTGCTTTATTCAGCTTTCAGTGGTTACATATTATATAACCACTGAAAGCTGGATAACACACTTTTGATTTTCTACAAATCCTTCATGGGCACTCTTCTTGGAATATATATATATATAAAGATAAAAATGAAATAAAATATATGAAATATATTAAGAAAGATAGTGGGCAATAAGGCTAGTATATATTATATACGTATAAATATTAAAGTATCTATGTGGAAGCTAAGAAAGAAATCTAAATATATGGAAATATGTGACGTTTTATTTGTAGTGGGGTTGGTAGATTCACATACAATCATTTTTAAAAATATTTTTTAAAAACCCAAGTAATAATTAGACAGGGTACTATTTTTGGTGCAAGGTTTGGGCTTATCCAGAAGGATGATTTTGAATATATCATCTTGTTTTAATATGTGCAAGTGTTTTTTTTAACTTTATTTTTATTATTAAAATAAAAAAGCTTGGGAAGAGTAGCAATATTATTTGTGTTGCTTATTATTTTCATGGAAACATCTCTGGCTGATTGAGCATCATAGGAAATGTCTAACAACATTTGCTGTAACAAAAAAGTTAGCCATCTCTAATGGACTTGATTTCTGATGATGTTTTGCCCGAGTCCATTTTTCAGTTTTCTCTAAAACGCTTCCCATTTTCTATATTAAACCATTAAGCGAGTTACATATACCATAATTCCCTTATAAGGCCCATCATAATCTTCTGCTGCAGGCCCATGAAATCTTTAATCCAGCTCTGTTGCCTGGCGAGTAATTATGGTAAGGAGTTCAGGCATAGGACAGGCATAGGTCAAGTTTAGTGTTGTGGAGTCATTGAAGGCAATTTTGTCTGGTTCCAGCAGTGTCAATATAGAGTTATTTTATTGAATAGAGCTAAAACCAGGCAATTGTGTGCATGTAAAGAGTTATATAGTTAGAGATTTTATGTAGTTTAGTGAGAGGCAGAAGTAGAATTATGAGAAGCAAAGTACCATTGGTCTAATAATCATGGCTCTTGTGGCCTTTCAGAGCACTGTGGATTGAAGGTCTGAATTTTTTACAACTTTTGTTTCAGTATAGCTAATTATATATTCCTCTGTCTGTAAACCTACTTGTGTTTTTTTTTTTTAAACTTTATTTGTAAAGCATTATGGATAAGAAGTGCTTCACAAGATAAAAAAAATTACATTTACAAAAAAAAAAAAAAAAGTAAAATAGGCAAAGTCGCCTCTCATGGGATGTGAAGATAGTGGGATACATGTTAACAGTCTAGTAGAAAACTGCTATGGTTATGATTTTAATTAATGGTTCTGGGGGTAGATTGTTATGGCAAGAGGTTTTATTAAATGGCTTAAATATATATGATTGTTTGACATTTTTATGTATTTATCCTGTATCTCACATTGCAGTCATTTTTTAAAGTAATGGCTTTTTACATCACCAAGTTTTGTGCATGAGTTGCTTGTGAGTAATATATTTATTATTTACATTTTGGATTTATAGCAATCACTCATGAACTCGTGCATGATGAAATCTAGGAATATATTTATATTTGGTCATGAAACTGACATTAATTACTGTAGAATGCTGCCCTTGTTTACTGTAAACTCCAAACCTCTCGAGTCTCATCTTTACATATATAACAATTTTTATAAATACTATACTGTACAGAAGCTACAATAGTCGATGTACCTGAACTAAAATTATTACTAACCTTATGCTGGTTCAAATGACCCGTACATGAAATACATTGTACCCTTACCTTTTGTGTCCCTATACCCCACTCCCTTTAAAATGTAAGCTCCTTTAAGCAGGGCTCTCAACACCTTCTGTTCCTGAGCGTCCATCTCGCCTTGTTGCAAATACACGTTTGTTAGTCCACCTATTGTACAGCGCTACAGAATTTGTTGGCGCTTTAAAAATCATCATCATAATAATAACAATATATTAAATAACAATCCAATGAGTGTCAATCTGTGGTTTGTGGATTGCAACCTCAATGATGCTGAGCCAGTCATTTTAGATGTTGTGGTACACAAACATCAGATTATGTATGCAAAGGTTAAATCACTGGATATATAGGCAAATTCACAACTGCTGACTGTTTTATTTAATGTCTCATTGATTAATCCTTTCATTATGTGTCTAATAATATTAATAAGCACAATGTGTTTTTTTTCCCTATAGAAATAATGTCAGTAAACAGGTTAACTAATGGTATTCAATGCTAATAATGTTGCCTTCAGTGTGAGAGGGAGGGAGTACTAATTCTTTGTGTGGAGCTCTGGGAGCTCTGCGGCACGGCACGGGTTAAGCCCCTAGCAGCCTCGCCCCGCCCCCCCACACGGTCAGACGAAACAAAGCCTTAGTAACGGATCCGAGGCTGGGATTGGCCGGCGGTTACTAGGAGCTGCCACTTTAAGGGAGAGCAGAGTGAGTGCAGGACACGGGGGGGCTGAGAGCTGGGGGTCGGGCGGTAGCAGAGGAGCAGGGCAGCAGCTGGCACGCAGGAGGGGGGGCAATATGTGTCCAGGGGCCGGGTGTGGGGGCACTTAATGCAATGCCAAGGGCAGAAGCGGGCTCCCAGTGATCTGGGCATGGAGCATCAGGAGCTGATCAGTGCATCGGAGATCATCAAGGGTGAGAGCTCCTACACAGCTATTACTGAATAATACATATATTATATATCCTCATAGGTCATCCTCTGCATGGGTACCCAGTATTGTACTGTATAGTGCTATATAAAACTACTCTTACTGTAATCACAATGGGTGTAATCACAATGGTACAGAGTTTATTTTATTATTTTCTTTTAGTCCTAGGCTGGCTGAGCATAGTGGGAGTTTTAGTTTTAGAACAGCTTATAATAATGGACTGGCTGAGTCTGGCATTATGTTGTGTATATGTCTGCATCAAGGTCTCCCCCCTAATATGAAGTCTTTTCACCTCTTTGTAAATTCACAGTAATGCAAGTGCATATAAGAGAGTTTCACAATATCACCTTTCTCTATGTTTATATGTGAATACTAGAGCCTTGTGTGTCTCCATAGTTTATGAGTTTTCTGAAAACTTTCTGATTACAAATAATGCACAGAATGGATGTCTTATTTTTGACACGAATGCATGTGTTTTGAAAATAAATTAAAACTGATTTATGGTGACCTTCTATGGTTCATCACAACAACTTCAAGATCAAATCCTATTAGTACTCTGCACTTAAAACAATTTGGGGAGAAAGTTGCTGATTATTAGTGTTGGGGTTCCTCAGCCACCAGTCTCATCTCCGAGTATCATACTATATTTGTTGGATATTTGATGAAGGTTCGTAATCTAAAATACTTGTGAAATCCTATGTGATATATATTTGTTTATGTAATAACCGATTTACATGGTTTTGCTCGGTTACATAACTCTTCAAACATTTAATTTCTGTAATTTCAAACCCTTGTTGTAGAGAATTTTTCAGACCTAGTAGCAAACCTCACACAGTCCAATGTTCCAAGTGCCATAAAGTCCTTCAGATCTTTGTACTTGTGTGTCTTTTTATAAACTGTAACATTGAGGCTAAAATAGAGAAGCTATGACTATAGCCAAGTTGTCAAGTTTGTCCAAATTAGCAATTTTTTTTTGCTGTTTGGATTTCAATTCACAGTCAGTTTGCATTTAATGAGTAAATACAATAGTTAAATCTCTGATACTGAAAAAAGTAGGATATGTGCATTTGAATTGAGTGACCCTGTTTGGTATATGTACTTGTTTCTCTTTCGTGGTTTGCTTTCATTGTCTCCATGGATATGAATGAACCTCTCAGTCTTCCTTATCTACTCCTTGCTTGTGTAGATGGATCAACTTTTCCTGTTTGCTAGGAGTCAAAGGGAATACAATGGTTTCTGTGCAAGATTAAAACAGTAAATGTTTTTGGGTATTTATATATTTTTTATTTTTTTTTGCGAAATTTGCAAAATTGCTTGAATAATATCTTCCTTGCTGTTGTAGCTTGTTTAGATTCATTATCCCGGTGATGAAATGGTAAACATGTTGTCGTGGTAACCCACAACTTTAGAAATGGCTTTAGAACACAAGCTTGCAGGCAAGTCTCTTTCAGCCTATCCGATTAGTGTATCTCTACCAGCTAATTATCTTTTGTTTTCCTTGTTTAACTTAGTAGACTACATGGCTAGAGTATTTGGATACCTGTTTGTGAAAATCACGCCCTAGATTCATGGGTATTTTAGATACCTCTCCTCTATGGGTGTGACTGGAATAGCAAATATATACTAATTTGATCTACATTCTTTTGACGATGTATCGTATATCCAATACTTCAAAATGTGTCTCCTTCTTAGGGTTATCCGCAAACTTCTGAGTTGTTGAGAACTGACTAGAGAATTGGAAGGACTCACCAATTCAGTTATTTTTCCATCGTTGATATTTCAGCCTTACATTTGAAATTCCTTGGTCATTTTCTGATAGTTCACCGTCTAGTGAATAACCTTGCCAGTAAATATATCCTACTAATAATTGTATTATATTGACTGAGATTTGGCTTGTACTTTAGAAAAGTTATTCTGGCATGGCACGTTAATGAAGATGCTCATTTTATAAATGAGTCCCTTGGGTTTGTTTGCATTTGTGTTTACATTATGGTATGTATCCAGGATTTTGAAAGAATCTTGTTGATGTTAATATTGGCACTTATTTTTTTCACAAGTGACTTTGCTTGGCAGGATTTACTATAGCCGCACCACACAAAGGAATCACATGCCTGCTATCCTAGGGCTTCCAAATATTTGTCACCCTATCTATGTTCATGTGAGGATATCACACCAGGAACCTATCTGAGTGGTGACACAACTATCGTGTGTGCACCCACCGTCGCAGCCCTGCCAGTCACTCCTGATGCAGAATGGATGTTGGGATGAAAGACATGCATTTTCCTAATCTGGACTGGTGTCTCAATATGTAATCTTATCATTCCTCCCAAACTAGTATCAAATAGAACTATGTTCCTACTTGTAACACATTCAAGCTTTTAGCATCATTCTGTCATTCCACTCACACAGAGCTATTTCCCCTCAAGTTGTAATTCCATATTCACCTTTTCAGAGCAATATTACTTTCAGCAATGTTTCTATGTGTTAATATAACCCACTAGTCTCAGATTTCTGTCTCTCTTTCATGTAATCTCTTGTCCTTTCTTCCTAAAAGACGTCACTCGGAAGAAAGTAAGCAAATGATGCATGAATAAAACGTCATAAAGAAGATGCAGACACTTTTAAGATATCTGTGACACTTCGTTATGTGCTTAGACCATACTGTAGTATCTTCCAATAAGCACTTCATTTCCAGTTGCTAGTGACTTGTGCAAGTTGTTTTTTTTAGATCTTTTTAACATATTTTAAGAATTGATGTTTATGGATAAATTTTAGGTCAATTAATGACTTACTAAAAATATATTGTAGCATTGTCAGATTTATTATAAAAAATTTTTTAATACAACCTACAGACAGGATGATTATTCATACTATTATTATTATAATTTATAAAGCCCCAGCAAATTCCGTAGCGCTGCACAATGGGTGGACTTACAAACACATATTTTTTTTTTTTTTTTTCAATTCTTTATTTTTGCATTGACAGACATTGTAGGTAAGTGCATTTTTGGCTTACGCAGAAGCCCATCTTTTCAAGTATGTTTTAGACATGGTACAGAAAAAAGACTGGGTTGTTAGTATACATAACATACATTTTAGACTTGTTGCATGTGGGTTGCGTAGAGGCTGTTGTCGACAAACACATATTTGTAACCAGTTGGACGCACAGGAACAGAGGGGAGGGCCCTGTTCAAGGAGCTTACATGCTAGATATATATGAGTTTTATATAATGCCTCTCAGAAACATAACCCAATGAATTACTGACTAAGTATCACACTCATAATCTTAGTCCTGTAACCAGGCAATGGATAACATCCATCACTGCTAAATTACAGTCTTCCTTCCTGATTACCTGTTGGAGTGAGGAGGTTCAGGGATTCTTGTGGTCTAGCTGGGGAATAGCTCTTTCTCACTCCCTCTAGAGCACTGCATTAGTATTGTGATGTAATGTCTCGTTCCCATATCAGCTCTGTATGACAACGGAAAGAAAGGGAGCTTGAATGTCCTGGGTACAGCTATCCTACATCCGACCTAGATCATTAGAAAAAGAGTTCACCTTGTACGTAGGTGTCCTGATATTCATTTGTCATACTGATACAGTTTTTATGTCTCATTATTGAGACTTCAACCTATAATATGATATGTGGCTATCAATGTATGTTTTGATTTATGACACTACATTATAGACATATAATTTACCAAAATAAAATAAAATAATGACTGAGATTATTGAGTTTTCACTGACCGCTGTAAATCGAGGGATTTCAAATAACTATATTATATTATAATTAGAGACAATTTGCTCATAGTTCATTTATTTTAGGGGCTCAAAAACAATTGGTCAATTGGTTGCTCAGCTGTTTCTTCACTGGGTCTATGTGTCAATATGTTAGCTCATGCACAGCAAGAGAGGTAACAAAAGGTCAAGTGTTAAATCTAAATGTGACATTTGCATTTGTTGTCTCTTAACTTGAAGAGCAGAGAAATGTTAATGGTATTAAAACTGGCCACGGGGGGGTTGAAATATCACTCTGAATCGACTACTAAAATATTAAACAAGTCATATCAGCTGTTGTACTTTGTCATGGAGCAAAAAATTCACCTGTGATCTCACCAATGGCAAGTGATAGCAATATTATATCTTGGCTATGTGTAAACATACAGTTGTGCTCAAAGGTTTGCATACCCCGGCAGAAATTGTGAAATTTTGGCATTGATTTTGAAAATATGACTGATCATGGATGCACTGAGGAGGCTAGATACTGAGCCATGGGGAGCAGAAAAGAACCGTCAAAAGACCCGCGTAACAAGGTAATGGAAATGTAAAAAGATGGAAAAGCATATTAAGAGATATCCAAAACCTTGAAGATACCAGTCAGTACTGTTCAATCACTTATTAAGAAGTGGAAAATTCGGGTATCTATTGATACCAAGCCAAGGTCAGGTAGACCAAGAAAGATTTCAGCCACAACTGCCAGAAGAATTATTTGGGATACAAAGGAAAAACTCACAGGTAACCTCAGGAGAAATATAAGCTGCTCTGGAAAAAGATGGTGTGGTTGTTTTAAGGAGCACAATACAACGATACTTGAACAAAAATGAGCTGCATGGTTGAGTTGCCAGCAAGAAGCATTTACTGCGCCAACCCCACAAAAAAGCCCAGTTACAATATGCCAGACAAAACCTTGACACGTCTCACAGCTTCTGGCACACTGTAATTTGGAGTGACGAGACCAAAATAGAGCTTTATGGTCACAACCATAAGCGCTATGTTTAGAGAGGGGTCTGGTGAAAAAAAAATACCATCCCGACTGTGAAGCATGGTGGTAGCTCATTGCTGTTTTGGGTGTGTAAGCTCTAAAGTCACTGGGAATCTTTTGAAAATCGGTGGCAAGATGAATTCAGCATGTTATCAGAAAATATTGGCAGGCAACTTGCATTCTTCTGCATGAAGGCTGCGCAAGGGATGCTCTTGGACTTTCCAACATGACAATGACCCTAAACACAAGGCCAAGTTGACCCTCCAGTGCTTACAGCAGAAAAAGGTGAAGGTTCTGGAGTGGCCATCACAGTTTCCTGACCATAATATCATCGAGCCACTCATGGGAGATCTCAAACGTTCAATTCATGCAAGACGACCAAAGACTTTGCATGACCTGGAGGCATTTTGTCAAGATGAATGGGCAGCTATGCCACCTGCAGGAATTAGGGGCCTCATAGACAACTATTACAAGAAAAACTGCACGCTGTCATTGATGCTAAAGGGGGCAATAAACGGTATTAGGAACAAGGGTCTCATTTTTTTTTCTTTGTTCCCATGTTTTGTTTTATGATTGTGCCCTACCGTTGTAACCTGCAGTTGAGTATGAATCCCATAAGAAATATGTGTTTTGCCTGCTCAGTCATGTTTTATTTCGAAATGGTACATATATTACCAATTCTCCAAGGGTATGCACAATTTTGAGCACAACTGTATTGCAGCACACACACACACACACACACACACACACACACACACACACAGCAGTGTATGTGTTTGTGTGTATATATACAGTTGCAAGAACAAGTATGTGAACCCTTTGGAATAATATGGATTTCTGCACAAATTGGTCATAAAATGTGATCAGATCATCATCTAAGTCATAACAATAGACAATCACAGTCTGCTTAAACTAATAAAACACAAAGAATGAAATGTTGCCATGTTTTTATTGAACACACCATTTAAACATTCACAGTGCAGGTATATATATGTGTGTGTGTGTGTGTGTGTGTATGTATGTATATGTGTATATGTGTGTGTATATGGATATATATACACATACATGCGGCGTGTTTTTGTGCTTTAGGGTGCACACCCTAATGCAATAGGCTGCGCACGCCTATGCTAACCTCTAGGTGAAGTGGATATCAGATCGGCGTCCCACTGTAAATAATGCGCGTACGTGCTCCACTCCCATAGTGCCGTAATGATGTGATTAAGTCATGCGTGTTATTATAGCGACGCAGGAAGCCGCGGCATTGCTATGGAAACAGATATAAATACATGATTAAGTGCTGATCCGAGCAAAATAAAGCAAGGTGTGAATAGAGCTAAATAGATGTGCCTAAAGTCATATAGGTGACATGATCTCTATTCTTAAAGTGGACCAATATATAAAGTGACAGTGATATGCTGATATTAACCAGTGTTATGTACAAGGTTATAGGTGCTCTGGTATGTGTTCCAGTTCAAGATATACTTAGACAAAGTAGGGACTATTTTGTCTCTGTATATTTCCTATACATGACACATCTAAACACTGTGCAGAGCTAGTATCAATCCTCCCAGCTGTCACCAGTGACGGCTGCAGGGAATTAGTTTTATCTATGGAGTATCTTGTGGGGTTCTCCATATACCTTAAAGGACCACTCTAGGCACCCAGACCACTTCAGCTTAATAAAGTGATCTGGGTGCCTGGTCCAGCTAGGGTTAACCCGTGTTTTTTTTTTTTTTTCAGAGAAACTGCTATGTTTATAAATGGGTTAATCCAGCCCTCAAATCCTCTAGTGGCTGTCTCACTGACAGCCACTAGAGGCGCTTGCGTGATTCTCACTGTGAAAATCAGTGAGAGCACGCAAGCGTCCATAGGAAAGCATTGTAAATGCTTTCCTATGAGACCGGCTGAATGCGCGCGCAGCTCTTGCCGCGCGTGCGCATTCAGCCGAATGGGAGGAGAGGAGGAGGATCGGAGGCGGAGAGCTCCCCGCCCGGCGCTGGAGAAAGGTAAGTTTTAACCCCCTTTCCTCTCCCCAGAGCCGGGCGGGAGGGGGTCCCTGAAGGTGGGGGCACCCTCAGGGCACTATAGTGCCAGGAAAACGAGTATGTTTTCCTGGCACTATAGTGGTCCTTTAATGCTGTACTTTTGTGCATGTGCGAGAGTACAGCAGTGACGTTGGCAGCTGAAGCTACAGAAATTGGAGAGCACCCGCCAGAAGAAGATGACTACACCCACGAGGGACAGGTAAGTAGAACTCACCTTTACCTGCCCCCACCCGACACCCAGCGGTGATGTCACCATCAGAGGTCTTTGCTGATTCTGCAAAGTCCCCAGACGGTGACAGTGCTGCTTTAAATATAAAACTGTTTAAGAATGGTTTGCCACTTATGATGTGTCTCTCGCTACTAGTCTTGGTGTATAGATCATGTCCCTGCTGTCTCACTATAGTACTCGTACTTACACAGCCTTCCTAAACACCTCCTGTAAAGACTAATCTGTTTATACTTCCTGTTTAATTTAGAATGTATATTCTCCTGAACTGTTAAAAGCTTGCTAGACCCTGCCGAAGTCTCCTGTATGTTATTAAAGTTCAATTTACAGAGCAGGCGATACAAACATTTAAAGTAAGTTATATCTGATTGAAAATAAATAAATAAAACCATGTTTTCATGCAGGCTGTGTCAGTCACAGCCAGGGGAGAGTGGGCAGAGCTGCATAAACAGGAACAAAAATGATTGAACTCATAAATTGTAGTGAATTGAGCAGTGAGACTGCAGAGGCATGATCTATAAACAAAAACACAACAACTACTTAATTAATCTGAAGTTGCTTTGGTGACTATAGTATCCCTTTAAAATGAAAATAAACTAGCATTTAAGCCCAAGTGTATCCTTATCTTGGGACATACGCTAATTAGCCGCAATATTAAAACCACAGCTCTGATAGGGTGAGGCATGGATTCCACAAGACCTCTGAACGTGTCTTGTGGTAACTATCACCAATTCATTAGCAGCAGGCCCTTTATGTCCTGCAAGTTGCAATGTGGGGCCTTCCTGGATCACATTTATTGTTCCACAGATGCTCAATCTGATTGAGATCTGGGGAATCTGTAGGTCAAGGCAACACCTTGAGCCCTTTGTTATGTTCCTCAAACCATTCCTGAACAATTTTTGCAGTGTGGCTGGGTGCATTATCCTGCTGAAAGAGGCCACTGCATTCATATAACAGCATTGTCATGAAGGGGTGTAGATGGTCTGCAACAATCTCTAGGTAGGTGTTACATGTCAAAGTAACATTCACATGAATTCCAGGACTCAAGGTTTCCCAGAAAAACATTTCCCTGATCATATCACTGCCTCTGCTGGCCTGCCTTCTTCCCACAGTGCATCCTGCTGCTATCTCTTACTCAGGTAAATGACGCACATGCACCCATCCATTCAGTTAATCTATAAGAAAATGTAAGTCATCACACCAAGTAACCTTCCATTGTCCAGTTCTGACAGTGCGGTGGACAAAGGTCATTATGAGCACTGTAAACAGTCTTCAGCTATGCAGACTCTTACACTGCGAACTGTGATGCACTGTTTGTTCTGGCACCTCACTATCATGGCTGGCATCACATTTTTCAGCAATTTGAGCACCGGTAGCTCTTGTGTGATCGGATCAGATGGGTTAGCCTTGGCTTCCCACTTGCATCAATGAGTTTAGGGTGCTCATGACACTGACACCAGTTCACTGGTTGTCCTTTCTTGCACCACTTTTAGTAGGTACTCGCCACTGCATACTGGGAATACTCCACAAGACTTGCCGTTTTGTAGATGCTCTGTCCCAGTCTTCTAGCCATAACTATTTGGCCTTTGCCAAAGTCACTCAAATCTTTTTGTATTCCCATTTTCCACCACACTAAATTGAAGAACTGACTGTTCACTTGCTGCCTAATATATCGGCCCCTTGACAGCTGAATTTGTAACAATATAATCAATGTTATTCACTTAACCTGTCAGTGGTTTTAATGTTGTGGCTGATCAGTGTGTCATTATAGTTACAGCTATTTCGATTATGACCACTCATTTTACAATGTTTGTGTTTCTCTATCCGTTCACGCTTCTCCTATTCTCCTACCTGACAAGCATGTTAATCTCTTCTCCCCACAGCCCACTTCGGGCATACTATTTCCCTTATTAAGTGATTTTGGGGTACAGGTGCTGCCCATGCAGCCTTGAAAATCCAAACCGTTCCATTTAGAAGAAACATCACTGTTTGCGTTATGCAGTTTACATGCCTACTAATGGCAGTCAGACAGCGATTACCGACTTTCAAACAGAAATAGATTAATTGAATCTATTTGATGTCCTCCATCACCATGCAAAGTATATCCCTCCCAGCATTTTAAATGGACAAAGACAGACGCTTCAAATTTAGGGGGTGCAGTGGGGGTTGCCAGGGTGGGGGGGGCTGTACTGACAAATTTTAGGTGATTTACTGTAACAATCTATACATCTATAATGTAATTTAGAACAAGAATCCTTTATCTTATTTACCCAGGCTGATTTCTAATCAGTTATTGTAATTTAAAGACCCTTAACTGTAAATGTTATTGTTGTGGAATCTCTGCCATACACCCAGACAAACCAATAATACTAAGCTCCTACAAAGGAGAGACATTCAGATAGAAAAGAAGAATAGAGCGATTTGTTTCTAAAATAAGGGCTATCCCTTTTTAAATAGAGACACTGGGGATGTATGAAAGTATGCTGACATTGTGCATTTTATTAAAAAAAAAAAATAACAAATGATGTTTAACATCAAAAAAGCAGGCCAAGCAGCTTTCTCATACATCGCTCTGGAAGTGTGATATGAAATTCCAGTAGCCTGCAATCTCCGAGAAGAACTGGCTCTGCATATCTTGAATCGTACCATACCTGTAAAAACTGCTAATGGGTAGCCATTTGTTTTGTGTATGTTGGAATATGCAACCTTGTAAATGTTTTGTAAAGCCAAGTCCTTGTTAGATCTGAACCAGCTGACCATCTTCAGAACTGAAATCTGACTGCTTTCAGCTGAATGGAGCAGTTAACTTTTTTTATTATTAATACCCATCTTTATTAGATATATCTCTTTATATTGCATTTCTTATTGGCACGGTTCTGATCAGGTGATCAGTTTAGAATGATGAGTGGGCTTTGACCTCTCTATCTGCTGCCTTCAATCCTATACAGCACTCACATGTTTCAATCTTATGGGTCAACATCAACCCAATCATATGGCAACAAAAATAACGGTAGACTGTCATAGGTGCACATTGATCACAAGTTAGTTCAGACAAGGAACTGCACATCACTGCTGTCACGTGCTAGGTGGGTTGGCAATCCCAAATACCCATGTCCTGCCTACCCTACCAGATACGTAGTGTGATTAACAGCAGCTTTAGCTATATATGCCACCAATATGCTAATTGTAATATGCAGTTATTTATATTGTCATGCCCATTCATTTTGCAAACTATATACTATTCTATGTGCTTTAATATCTGATAAATGCGGATCTGTGTGTCTTCACCAACATTAAATGTTTTTTTTTTTTGGTTGCAGATCGCTTATATTTTGCTACCTTGAGGAATAAACCAAAGAGCACTGTAAATACGCACTACTTCTGCACAGACGAAGAATTTGTATATGAGAAGTAAGTACTTCTAGCTCATATGTTACATTTATGCTCTTCTATAAACATATATAGATGAAATGCTAAGACATCCATTGCTTTCCTAAGATATATTTAGAGGGATATTTATCAAAATGAGAATTGTTAGGAATTCAATGTGAATTTCTTATTTGAGGCCAAAGTAGCCGAACTGGAAAAACTCTTTAGTTTAGACATCGTTCCAGTTTGGCTTGTTTTGAGGCAGATGTTTTTTCTCAATAAATGCAGCTAAGGTTAAAGGAACATTATAGTGTCAGGAACAGAAACGTGTATTTATGACCTTAAAGTGTTTTTAACACTATAAGCCCCCTGTACCTATCTTAAATACAGTAAAAACTCACCTATTTACACCATCACCATGCCCCAGATCCACTTCCTTGGCTGACTTCATCAGAATTGACGATCTCAGCCAATCCAATGCTTTCCCATATGAAAGCATTGGATTGACTTAGATCAATTCTGATGAGCTAAACCAAGGAGGCGGGGCGGGGGGAGAACCAAACTCTACCCTGGCCAATCAGCATCTCCTTATAGAGTCATTGAATGCAGAGCGTGAAAAGGCAGTGTTTACATGAAAATGTCTGCAGGGACTGACTATACTTACCAGAACAACTACATTAAGCTGTAGCCTGTAGTTCTGGTAATTATAGTGTCCCTTTAATATGTAAGACACTAAAACTTTGTGACATGTGTCTCTGACCTCTTCTGTTGAAGTACTGTATGAGCATATGCAAGCCGATGCATTTATTGCATGGTGCCTTGTGGCGTCGACATGCATGGCATTTTGAGGTTCAGAGTAATTTGTTTAAAATGACTGGCTGCACATGTACCATCATTCACATTATGCAAGTTGAAAAAAAAATTTACATTTTTTTAATAGCACAACTCAGTTAATGTTTAGCTAGCTGCTGGCTGCTGACCCCCCAGAATGAATGATATTAATATGCCCTATTAATAAGTAGACCACACGAGTTAACACAGTAACTACAATTTTCCAGTCCCTTCAGGTATCAATTAGCACAAACCCGTCAGATTAGTGATTTAATGCTGCTACTTATAAATGTCAGTGAAAGACTGTTTTCTCAGCGAACCACCACAACTATTATACTTATACCTACATATACAGGTTTTTTACTATAGAGAATTGCCAGGAATTTGAAGTAAATTTCAAAATTTAGGCCAAAGTAACCAAATTGGAAAAATGATCCAAGTTAGTTCCTTTTTGGACTTAAATTTTAAATTCACTTTGAATTCACGTTGAATTCAAACAATTGCCACATTAGTCCCACCTTAATAATGTCACAACACTAAACTTAACCAAACTAAGAATAAGAATTTCCTGTTGATCGGTTGAAGACATTGCAAGTTATTTCTACAAATCATCCTACTCCCACCACCCTTAACCCTGCAAGGTAATTTATGCAGAAGGGTTAAGTCCTCCTCTTGTGGCGGGAACAGTCTCGTCCACTGGCCGACGCAGTCAGGAGGAGCGGCGCGGAGGGAGAAGCAGCGACGTTGGACATCGTCGCTGCCTCAGAAAAAGTTACTGAAGGGGTTTTCACCCCTTCAGGAACCGGGGATTGCGTGGTGGGTGGGAGAGGGAACCTGCAGTGCCAGGAAAACTGATTGTTTTCCTGGCACTGGAGTTTCCCTTTAGAGGGATACTCCGGTCACAATAACAACTTCATCTAAATTATTATTATTTATAAAGCACCCAAAAATTCCGTAGCGCTGTACAATAGGTGGACTAACAGACCTGTATTAGCAAGAAGATGAGCTGGACACACAGGAACAGTTGGTGTTGAGGGCCCTGTTCAAAAGGAGTTACAATCTAGATAAATTTGTTACCGTGCCAGGAGGCCCCCAGTGCACTGTTACGTGCAGAGTGCCGCTAAGCAGCACTGCTCTAAGTCAATCCGTAGCTCCCCATTGATAAAAAAAGGTACGTTTCTTTTTTTTTTTTTATCGATGGGGAGCTACAGATTGGCTTAGAGTGTCAGCTGATGCTCTAACCCAGTCAGCTGCGCCCCTGCCTGGCGGCACTCTGTGCTCCTGTTACTGAGATTCAGAAGACCGATTCCATCTGGGGGACCTGGTATGTGCTCGAGGTATCCTTTGGGGATAAACCATTCGCAGAAGGTTTAACCCCTTAAAGACACCTGACGTGTGTGACATGTCATGATTCCCTTTTATTCCAGAAGTTTGGTCCTTAAGGGGTTAAGGTAAGAGTAAGAGTGTGCCCGGGGCCTCCTGGCACCATATCAACTTAACTTAGATGAAGTTGTTATGGCAAACTGAGTGTTCCTTTAAGCTTTTTGTTATAGAAGATGGCTTGGAAATGGAGAGTTTCAGGTTATGTATGCAGATTTTCTAGCTATTTGCAGGAAGCAAAAAGGGGGTATTTGACAATCACCAAGTGCCACAAGTTCTCAAAAGTTGTAGTTCACATGTATGAGAGTATCTATGACACCTGCATGCGTGCTTTCTTGGTAAATACTGGGGTTTATTCACAAAACAGGCAGTTGCAAAGATTTACAAATACTGGCTCATGATAACCATACTTAAAGGGACTCTCCAGTGCCCCTCTAGCTACTTACCTGAATCCAGCGCCGATGTCTCTCGGCGCTGGGTCAGGCACCACCCACACTCCTCCCCTGCCGACGTCAGCCGGCGGGGGAAACCTAATGCGCATGCACAGCAATGGCCACGCGCATTAGACCTCCTCATAGGCTGCTATGAGAAAAATCTGACGCTGGAGGTCCGTAAGGACATCCAGCGTCAGATAATGGACCAAAAGTCTGTTATGAATCCGGAGGCGCCCCCAGTGGCTGTCTGATAGACAGCCACAGAGGGCAGACTTAGAGCTGCAATGTAAACATTGCAGTTCTCTGGAGGGGCACAGCACCCAGACTACTTCAATTAGCTAAAGTGGTCTTGGTGCCTGGAGTGTCCCTTTAATATCTCCACTTTTTTTTTTTTTTTCCATGTCATGGGTACTTTTACCAAACTTTTGCAATTCAAGTGTGAGTTCTCCATGATTTCTGCAACCTGATTTACATCCTATGGTACAAAGTGCCGTTTTATGTGTCACATGTTTTTGCTCATAATTTAAATGGGTTCACGTAGTAAATGCATGTTTATTTCAACACGGAAATGTAGCACTCAGAGCAGAGTGTGGATATTAGTGTGTGTGTGTGTGTGTGTGTGTGTGTATGTAGATCACTCTTAGTTCATGTATGAACTAGGTAATGCTCTCTGTCTTGCATTAGTGGATTGATTAGTAAAACATTATGTAGACATACTGTCCTTGAATTTTATAACCGCTCTAATCTTTCATGAGGTTTTACACTGAAATGGACACTATAGGCACCAAAACAACTTTAATTTATTGAAGTAGTTTTGGTGTATAGATCATGTCCATGCAGTCTCACTGCTAACTTTTCTGCCATTTAGGAGTAAATCACTGTTTAAGTAGCCCTACTCACACTTCCCTGCATGTGACCCTCACAGCCTTCCTAAACACTTTGTGAAAAGATACCTAGATATTCTAGGTTATTTTATTGCAGTCTGTTTAATCTAGAATCTCTATCTTCTGCACTGTTTGTAGCCTGCTAGACCCTGCAGGAACCTCCTTTGTGTAAATACAGTTACATTTACATAACAGGAGAACTTCTAAAACGAGTTAACATCCAATTGAAAATGAAGTTGTGTTTTTTTTTTTTTGTTTTTTTTTTCATGCAGGCTGTGTCAGTCACAGCCAGGAGAGGTGTGGCTAGAGATACATAATTAGAGCCAAAAGTGGTTTAACTCCTAAATGGCAGATAAATGAGCAGTCAGACTGCAGGGGCATGATCTATATATCAAAACTGCTTCTTTAAGCTAAACTTGTTTTGATGCCAGTAGTATCCCTTTTATATGTTTTTTTTTATTTTTTTATTTTTTTGCTGCTGAGAAATATGTTACAGCTTCCCTGATTCCATAACAAATAACAAGGAATCTAAGTGGAATGACTGGTGTCATTCTTAGTGCTAAAAAAAAATTTAAATACATTTTTTTGCACTTGCTCTGCCTATGTGTGATACATGCATTTTCATGTAAATCAGTCTGCAGAGAGTAAACGTTGAGTTGATAATTTATTGGTTTTTCATCAGCTCGAGCCAGTTCTTAAAGGAACACTTTCATCTCAATAACAATGTAAGCCCATTTCAGTTGTTATGGGGGCAGGAGTGACCAGCATTTAGGGGCAGACACAGCTTTCTCCTCTCTGCACTGCAGGCGATCCCATAATGCACAGCTTGTGTTTCCACTTCTAACGTTGTGTCAAGTAAAGGATTTTGGGAGGAAACAAAAAAGTTATTTTACTGAAATAACAGTTTAGCAATAATATGTAAAAATTTTAAGTTTTATTCCACAAACTTCGAATTGCTTTAAGTTCAGATCTAAATAGGGAAATCTAGGCTAAAGTAGTTGATCTGGAAGAACTTTCCAATTCAGCTCTAGTCACAGCTTGGCTGTGTTAGTCTTAATTTTGCCATTTAGGTTTTCTTTGACTCAAACCATGATTAAGCCCTTAAGTTCAGGAGTAATTATTAATTTATAAAAAATTATTAGCAGTTTGACTGTTGTAATTTATACATATTATCTATAACGTACTAGCATGTAGGTTTTGCATGAGACACTTTAAAACAGGCTTCCCCAAACTCCGGCCCTCCAGATGTTGCTGAACTACAACTCCCTCGATTCTATGAATGAAATAGATGGGCTGAGAATCATGGGAGTTGTAGTTCAGCAACATCTGGAGGGCCGGAGTTTGGGGAAGCCTGCTTTAAAATAACAAAACAAAAAATGGTTAACGAATGGCACTTAAATTCTTGTATAAAATGTCTCAGGAGTTAATAATCTCTTTGAGGAATTTGTGTAAATGTAGGTTAGTAACACTTATTATACACGTGTTAGAACTTAAATAGTGCAATAAAACACAGCCTACAATAAATGTCACACTGTCACCAGGGAGTCACAGTTGTTATGTAGACTGTGAATTTGCATATGGATATTGGCATCGGTTAGTTTTTTATTTATGCAGAAGTTCCAACACTGCATAAAAGTAACTGGTATTAGTCTTGTTCTGCCCACTGCTTTATTGGGAATATTGTTGAATGTGCTCTGTGCTTTATAAAAGAAATGATGGCCTGCTTTCATATAGCTAAAGCAACAGCAAGCAATTTGCATTCACTTGCCCAGGTAGCTCCATTCATTTTTATTAAGTGAATTAAGAGATGCTCATCGAGTCCCATTCATTTGTTAGGAAACCTAGCTGTGTGTGTTTTTCATAAAGCACAGGTTAGTATACATCTTGCTAGTTAAATTGCCTAAATAATTCCTGTTGAAATTGAGAAACAGGAGATTAGCATATTCGGCCATACATTCTTTTCCTTCAATGTAAACAAATGTATCAGCATAGTTAACCCCTTTAAAGGAACACTATAGGGTCAGTAATACAAACATGCATTCCTGACCCTATAGTGTCTAGGTAGCCTGTCACCCTTCAAAAGGTAAACGTACCTTAGTTTCCAGCTCTCTGCCATAAATAGTGAAGGTGAGGAACGGTGCCAAGTAGATCCCAGCTAAAAAGTCAAACTGTCTTTACAATGGAGGGGTGACAGAGCCCCCTTGATACTATAACCATTACAGCAATCTGAAGTGGTTATTGTGCCTGGAGCTTTCCTTTAATTCTGCTTCCACATTATGTAAAAACCTTTATGTTCTAAATCCTTTGAGGTGACTGTTTCCTTTAAGCAGGGTGTGTAAAGCAAAACCATTCATTGATGTACTGACTCATACACCTGAATTTAATAAGTTAGGGTAGGGGATACACTTTTTGGCAGTAAATGACAAAAATAAGTCTTTTACATAAACTATCCATATAAAATGTAGCTTAAAAGAATACTAAATCACTACTTGTCAACACATTCAAATGATCCTCCCCCACAGATAATAATGTAATAAAATAAGGAAATGATCAAAAGGGTGCGGAGAAAGGGTGACCGCATCCAGTATTTTAGATGTGTAGTATTTTTTTAAATTATTGCTTCCATCATGTAATGTACTCAGTATAATTACAAAACCTGGTATGTTAATGCTTTATAACTTATTTATATTAATCAGTCATACCTAACCATGTATTGCATGGTCCCAATGGCAAATTCATTTTGTTCCGATTTTTGGTTGATGGTCCGCTGTGTGCTGTACCTTTAGAATTAAATACAGAAATGGACTGGGTTATCCACTATACAGGAAACTACAAAGAACTGACAAGGGAGTTGGACATTTTACTAAAAAATGTAAAAGTTGGAAAAATAATTATTCTGTTATAAAATTGGAAATTTCTTTGTAAATTATATTTGCTGATTTAGTGAATAACCCATTTGTGATAATATAAAAAGAAGCTTTATAAAAAAAATAAATAAAGAAATTCTCCTCTATTCACCTGCTTTCCAAATTCTCACATGATATAGGTAGGAATACAGGTATGAATTGTAAATGCATACTTCCCAACAGTCCCAGATTAAACGGGACTTCCGGAATTTGGGCTCCTAACAAGAATAGCCTAACCCACAGGTTTTTGAGAGTTTGTTACATGCTTACTATATAAAATGAATATTCTACGTAGCAAAATTACAAATTTAATTTGCAATTTGACAAATTAATAGGATTGTAAATAAATGTATGGATTAAAGCGAAAAAAATGAAGTGTTTAATTGTAGCAGTAGAGTACAGACTGCCGTAATCATTATTCTGTGTTCTACATTCACATTGCAAACAGTGGTTGGGGTGAGAGTCATTTTAAATTGTCAATTGATAGGGTGCCCACTACCTAATACCATTACCCTGCCACAGCTCCTAACATTGAGAGGTGGGAATCTGGAATGCGAGGGTGAGCTTTACGATGTCCGGTGAGCAAACTGTGTGCATGTGCAGAAAACTGTACATAGATCTTCTATGACACACACTGGAATTATAGTCGTTTGCATTGAGAGTCTTTCAAAAATGTGTGACTCTGGAGAAATAATGATCTGAGGCAAATGGCCGATGTGATGCTGCTACCGTCTCCCCTTTTCCTGTAATGAAAAAATTCCGTGTTTTGCCGGGTAATTGTGCTGACCTCTGGTCCCCAATAAATATCGGTAACTGCACTTCTTCCCCATGCTACATGATTTCTATTAAATCTTTTATGTCCTGTTTGTGATCCATTGTTCTTAATACTGTGTGGGTGTGTTCCTTCCTGGACACTCTGTAAAGCTCTTTACTAGGCTCTGAGCCGTCTCTGAAACCTGCACAGTTACACGAGACTGAATCTCTTCCTCCGTTTCTTTTTAATTTTTTTCCACATCCTCATCTGTCTGCTTTTTTTTCCAATCAGCTTGGTTCCTTCTTGACATCATTGTCTATTTTATCACCTTTCTCAACATATATCCTTTGCATTTTGTGCTTTATCTGTCTAGTACACCTTCCCTGGGGGTCCATGTGTCATTCTCATCTCCTCCTCTATAGTTGTTTATGGTCTTCTCTTTAGTGTTTGTCTCTCTTTTCCATTTCTTAAACGTTATTCCCCCGTCTCCCTGTGTTACTGCTACATTTTCAAATCTGTTTAATTCTCTCTTCATCTAATTAGATACTGAAGATCCATAAAGTCTCAGTCATATCCTTATGAAGACAACTGTAAATTTGTGCATTCATTTAGATTTAATTACCTCTTAGAGGGACATAGACTAGTTTGTACTTAACTAACCTTTTTAAGACTCTCCGTGCCGATTTGTTTTCTCGTTCTTTTTTGATGTGTGAACCTAGACGTGTTTCCTTTATCTCTGAGGTTATTATTTATAAAGAACAGTTTTGAAGAAGTGTTCTAAACTTGAAAAAATAAGCTGAATATTCTGATGGTTTCTGTAGTAATTTGTATTTAGAACTTTGACCTCAAATTGTTCTATGTTCATAATCTCCATGCTCTGACCATAAAATGCGTTGGTCAGAATAATTACAGGTGTATAGACCACACGGAGACATTCGGCTATTATCAGTAGATGCACAAGTATTTATGGGCTTCCATGATTAGTTTTTTTTATTACTTGATGATGGCTATATGGTTTACTACTTAATGTGTTTAGTAGTGAACTGCCCTGTGGAAGGCGTGGGACGACAGCCATTATGTGTGTCCCCATCTCTCATACTTCAGCTGGGTCACCTCCGCAGTGCAAATGTAGGGAGGGTTTTTGATTCTCATTTCAACGATATAGATGTTCAGTGCAAATGTTTTCTTAACCTTTTTTATTAATGCAATTTGCAGAGAATACAAGTGTTATGAGCATTATTTATCCAGTGTAGTAAGTTGCATGTTTTTCACACAGGAAACCTATTCGAGTGGAAACATTGCAGTAAAAAAAGAAATCTGGTTGGTTGTATTTGGTGGATGGATAGCGGTTAAAACATCAAAAACACATGTAATAATAATATTATGCAGTACTATTTAATGACAAACATAACCAAAAACAGAAAGGGAAGGAGGTATATAAATATGTAATTGTATTCGTGAATGCATCAATTGTTTGAATGTATTTGTAATATTTCTTAGTATATAAAATTGAATGCTATTGATTCATTTTGGTGTTATTCACTAAGCTCCAAATTTACCTGTGTGATATCCAGAATTTAAAGTTTAGTTTTTCATTTAGAAACATAGAAACATAGAATGTGACAGCAGATAAGAACCATTCAGCCCATCTAGTCTGCCCAATTTTCTAAATACTTTCATTAGTCCCTGGCCCTTTCTCATAGTTAGGATGGCCTTATGCCTTTCCCACACATGCGTGTTAACCCCTACCACTTCAGCTGGACGGCTATTCCATGCATCCACTACCCTCTCAGTAAAGTAATACTTCCTGATATTATTCTTCAAACTTTGACCCTCTAATTTAAGACTGTCCTCTTGTTGTGGTAGTTTAAAGGAATCTGGAGATAAACTGGGCTAGTTGGAGACTAGTCCTAAATGTGCTGCTCCCAGTAAGACAAAGCGGTGTCTGCTAAAAAGAAACAAGCTTGGAAAACTCTGAAACCTGTAATCTGCACTGCAGAATTTGCCCTAAAATACCCTCCAACTTGCGCTTCCTTTACACTTTGCCCCTTTTCTCTTGACATCTGGTGACAGAGCCACTCATTCAGGTGATGGAGAGGACTGTTGGTGCATCGTATGTCACATGATAAAATTGTGTGAATTGACAAGTCTGCATGCAAAGTATAGGAAGTCAAATATTTATATTGCCCTTCCTCAGCAATTATTTACTCCTTCAGCAATCCCTATTTTCTGCTAAATCAATCCATCTGTGTTTCCTCACATGTGTTCATTCTGCTTCTAATATATAGGATCATTGACTTGGTTAACCCGCTTTGTCCTATACCCACCTATGCTTCAGTATTACCATTGGGATTTTATGCCTTAAAAATGCAGAATGGCTCCAAATACTAACATGAATCCATTTGATCTGTTATGTCTTATACTATTTCAGATAAGGCTTTAACACATTTTTATTCTTTACCCTCAGCTTTTATGCAGATTTTGGACCTCTGAACCTTGCCCTGCTCTACAGGTTCTCCTGCAAGCTCAACAAAAAGCTTAAGGTATGTTTAGCTCTCTATCTCTCTGAATACTGCGATTTCACACTGCATACACCCAGTGTCCTGACTGCGGTATCTTACTGCATGCACTCAGTATTCTGACTACGATCCCTTACTGCATGCGCCCAGTGTCCTGACTGCGATCCCTTACTGCATGCGCCCAGTGTCCTGGCTGCGATCCCTTACTGCATGCGCCCAGTGTCCTGGCTGCGATCCCTTACTGCATGCGCCCAGTGTCCTGACTGCGATCCCTTACTGCATGCGCCCAGTGTCCTGGCTGTGATCTCTCACTGCATGCACCCAGTGCCCTGACGGCAATCTCTCACTGCATGTGCAGAGTGTCCTGGCTGCGATCTCACTGCATGCGCCCAGTGTGCTGACTGTGATCTCTCACTGCATGCACCCAGTGCCCTGACGGCAATCTCTCACTGCATGCGCAGAGTGTCCTGGCTGCGATCTCACTGCATGCGCCCAGTGTGCTGACTGTGATCTCTCACTGCATGCACCCAGAGTTCTGACTGTCATCTTTCACTGCATGAGCTCAGTGTCCTGAGTGCATGCACTCAGAGCTCTTAAAGGAACACTGTAGGCACTACAACCATTTAATCTAATTGAATTAGTTATAGTGCCTGGAGTCCATTGGCACTGTCCCTCCATTCAATATCAAACTATTTTTAAGCAGTTTAACACTGAATGAGGACCCTCGGCCTACCACAGTCTGCCCCCTGCTGAAGGTATGACTAAGCCAGAGATTACACACTTCCTTCTAACCAAATAAATTTATAACAGCAACGGATACTGTGAAAGGCTGAATACGGTCAGCTGACACTCTCAGCCAATCATTGTTGGCCATTAATGCTGAGGATAATGCTTCCTCATTAGCCCAAGCAGCACAGAGGGGACGGGCTGATGGGGACTCTAGTTAAGCATTAAAACATAAAAATTTGTTTGCACTGAATGGAAGGACAACTCATGAAATAAAGTAGTTACAGTAACTACAGGGTCCCTTTAATGTGACCTCTAATTGTTTGAAACTAGTATTCTGACTGTGACCTGGTTGTTTGTAAGCTCTCATTGAATCCAATCAGCACTGCAAACTCTCACATCTAGTATTGTGACCATGACTTCTCCCTGCAATCACTTGTCACTTATTGTGACATATCACTTTGTGTCCTGACGTGACCTGTCACCCTATGCACCCAGTAATCTCTTATGGTACTGTCACTGCATGCAGATTTTTTTAACTGCATATACAGGGTGGCCCGTAAGTCCCTACCCACCCATATATCTTATGTATCTGTGTGCTGGATGGGTACACTGCTATACATCACTCCATACTCTCCAGCACTGGGTTTATGGCTTCACATATTTTGATCTCATTTAACTCCCTCTTGTCTTTGTCTGCATCTGAATTTTCTGGCCTTTCTATGACTGTGTGTCTGCCAGATGCTGACTCCTCCTACTGAACGACGTTTTCTCATGCACACACTTTTGTATTTACTTGTTCACCATAGCTACATATGAATGCAGTGCACCCTACTCTAACTCTACTTTCTCACAACACAGAAGCCATCTTCAGGGACTGAATCCATCTATCCTTAGTCCACACTTGTACTGATATGGTCATTTTATTGTTTCATTGTTACAGGATGATTATTGAAATCAGTGAATTTTATGCTATGTCTCACCGGAACTGAATGTATTATTGCACAGCATTTAACTCTATTGCTATCTTAATGGCCACACATCGTATTTTCATTCATATCATGTGTTTTCATTTTCTTCTTTCTATCCGATTCTGTACTTCCACACCTGATGAACCCTCCAGGTCTATTCAAAATATGGGATATAATTGATGTAATTTATCCCCTGTTTGTTTCAAATTTTAATTGCATGTTACCAAGACTTGGCTTTCTAACCAAGGTTTACAGGCTTCATTGGTTTGATATTTCCCATTTAATCATATCGAATTAGGCAATGCTTGCCCTATTAACAAATATGATATTTCCTATTGTTTTATATCTATGCCAATCTGTTTCCAGGAGATGAACCGGCAACAATATAGACAAGTCCCTTGGAATGAAATGAACCAGTGTTAGGATCCCTTCCCCCTGCTTTGTTATCTGTCCCCTCCCCGATTCGCTCTGATTGTGCAAGGAATCTGAGCTTCGTGAGCTCTACACAAATAACCAGTCTCTTTGTACCAACTTTGAAATCGAAGCAAATCCAGCTAGCCACCTGAGTGCCAAGTACATGCTAGGATCTAAATACCTTCTCAGAATGCACCGTAGCTTGTGCCATGCCAGTCCTCTCCTGGGGTAAACCTGCCTCCTATTATACTTTTGTCAAAGATCAGGGAGTCTGATAAATGGCCTCTTTAACAGAGCTGTCATGTGTCCAGTTTTACCAAGACAAGCCCAGCATTAGCAGAAATGCCCCAGTTTTCCCAGAAACTGTTGGGTGTGTGTGTGTGTGTGACCCAGATAAATTGGATCTTTTCATTATCCACATGAGATTGAAGCACAGCAGATAGCCATGCTCATGGTTGTGTGGGAAAGAGCAGGAGCCACTGGGAGGACAAACTCAGTAGGTACTGTGTAATTGGTAATTGCAATCTGTCTCACTTGCGTAGGGTGCTGGATGGCAAGGGGGCCCTGACATCCATCTCTGCCATCCCAAACTCAGATATTTCTTCTTATATACAAGATCAGTTATCCAGGTGCCCTCTTGCTGAAATAATATAGAGAGAGCCTTGTTATTGTGAGTTTCAAGGTACCATTCACAGGGTTTGTAGGCGATCTCTCATAATCTCAGACTTAATTATATAAAAAAAAATATGTACTTGTATTTCTCTAGCTCTGTTCTTCAAGTTTGTCAGTATACCCACCAACTGGTAAGGATTAGAGGGTATTTCTACTGGTTCATGGGCTAAGTGTCAATCACCTGTCTTGGAGTATGGATGTAATAAAAATTCTGGCATGTTGGTGGGTGCTGTAAAAACATTTAAGAGCACTGTCCTAGATCATTAACTAGTATAAATTCTAACAACGCTTTCTGTCATCTCCCAGGTTATGTTGTTGCATGTTAATAAATGTGGTGTTACAATCACACATTATTAATTTGTGTGGATTGTCAGCAATTAACTTTTGAGACCACAAAAGCCGAATTTAAAACTTAGCGGATATCATAAGTTTTCCTATTTGGCTATAGTGGTTTAAAATGTGAAATTCACTTTGAATTCATTGTCAGGGCTATTCACCAGAGTGGGAAATCGGTTAATTCCAAATATAAGGTCAAAATAGCCGAACAGGAAAAATTCTCTTAAGTTACCCATGCTTTTTGTTCAGCTAGTCTGTCCTTAAATTTGACATTTCCTTTGAGGTCTCTGTTTCACTGCAAGGCACCATGCAAACAGGTTAATCAGAACTGTTTGGATCATGAACAGATTGCTTTCTGCTGTGTTTTGGTTACTATAGCAAGTTGTATTTAGTAATTAAGTGATCTAATAACCTACCTCCCCCATCCTTATTCTTGGGAGGGTGCAAAGGCTAATTTCTTTAATACATTATGAAAGGTTAACATCTCTTGCAGTAGGTGTTTCATAATGTTTACAAAGACAATAATCGTGGCAACTTAATGTATTTATATTTTTATATAGACCTCTATAGATATACATCTGTGGCTTCTAAAAATAATTCAATAGTGCATTTGTCTGAGTGACAAATGGACCAAAAAAAGTATTCACAAAAATAAACCGCTTCAAACCTTACAAATGAACTTAAAATAGATTAAGATGTTTAAGTTAAATTGTAAGGAATCTAAAGTCCAAAAATAAGTTTTCAGGTATTTTACAGCAGCACCACTATTAAAGGGACACCGTAGGCACTGTATCTGCTTCATCTCATTAAACTGGTTAAAGTGTCTGGAGTCCTCTGGTCCCATCATTTCTATCAGCATTAAACAGTTTTTAAAGTTTTAATGCTAAACAAGAGTCCCCGGCAATCCATCCACTCTTTGCTGCTTTGGCTAATAAGGAAGTATTAGCCTGAGCAGCAATGGGCAGCTGTGATTGGCTGAGAGTGTCAGCTGACTGCTTTTAGCCTGTCAGAGTTCCAACTGACGGTATGAATGGGTATGACAACAAGGAAGTGTGTAATCTCTGCCTTAGCTACACATACTGAAGGGGCCGGACTGTGGGTGGCCAGGGACTCTTATTTTGTGGCATACTGCACGAACATGGTGCAACGCTGAATGGAGGGACAGTACCAGGGCACTCCAGGCACTATAACCAATTCAAAGAGATGAAATGCTTATAGTGACTACAGTGTCCCTTTAAGAAAGCATGTGTCCCAAATTCTTGCTACTTTGTAAACCAATTCTGAAATAATTCTAAATATATAATAAAGAGCAGTTATGAATATTCAGATACTTAGTAGACTCTGATTTATATGCAAATTGAAAACGTGTACAGTAATGATTTGGAGTGAAATCGGGCATTATCGTGAGATGCAATGTGAAGAAAGAGCAGGACATTATCAGTTTTCAATGCAGACGCTGATTAATGATAAGCAGTTGAAAGCAGCATTGTAAACAGCAGTGATTGCAGTGTGTAATACTGTGTTTCATTGTTCAGAATGTTTGGAGAAGCTGTTCTTTGCTGAGGATGTTGAAGGTAAAGTTTGGCAGCTGAATGCTACTTTGCTTGTGTATGTATATGTTGCCCAGAGATCACCAAGGCAATACGACGGTGTGTGTGTGTGGTCACAACCAGGGGCAGGACTGTTAATTGCTTCCTGCATGTTGTGGGATTTCAGTACAGCACACAATGCATCTCTCTCTAACCCTAGCTTGGGGCACTAGTAATGGTAGAATTGGAATTGTATTGAAAAAGAGACTATATCATGTCCATTTGTTCTGTTTGATTACACTGCTTTATGAGCATAACCCAAGGCAACCTCCAAGTTTATGCATTCTATCCCACAAGGTCACTGCACATGTAAGGAGTGATCAGTTATATTGATCCTTTTCAGATTAACAGTGTAAGGGACACATACTGTGATCATTCTAAAGGCATTCACAGAACAGTGTATTGTAATGTGTTTACTACCAGTTTAGGGAAATATACACGCAAATTGGCCATCTCATCTGTTCTCACCTAATGTTTCAATTTATTCACAATTTGCTGTTAAGTTAATAAATCCAACTCGCTAGAACACCTGTCTTTTCTGTAAACCCAACAGTTTGTATGCCTCTAACCCCTTATGTCCCTCACATCTCCTATCGGGTTTATGTCCCTGCACCTTGATTAAAGGACAACTGGTCACCTCAAAACTATATAAAGTTTAAAAAAAAAAAAAAAAAAAAAATAATATATCTATCTCTATCTCAATGAAGAGAGCACTCCAGAGGATTTTTTTCAATCAAACTTTATGTGTAGTGAAGATATATATTTGTCGTGTGTGTGTGTATATATCTATATCTATATATCTCTCAAAATAAAAAAAAGCTCAACTTTACCTTATAGTATACTACAGCTATACACAAGCAAATTGGATCAGACAGTGTTTGAAAACCGATATTTAAGAAATCCATCATAGAAATAAGGCATATTGACTAACCAATTTCTTCATTTGAACATTCTGTCTTCATTGACCCTTATTGTAGTCACATACTGTTTACACGCTATGCTGGTTACACCCCCACCCCTATTTCTACTGTGAACAAAATGTACTTTACCTTTAATCTATTGTGTAATTGTGCCTTATTTCATTTAGATTGGAAGCAGGGCCCTCACTACCTCCTTGTGGGTTTAACTTATTTGCATGTTTTGTAAAAGCACTGAGGAACATGACAGCACCTTCTAAATAATAAAAATAATAATAATAATGAGAGAACTTGGCATGTTATGTAAAAGTAACATTTTTGTTTTGTTGTTTCAGTCTGGATTTTTATATTTATGTGACAAAATTAAGGTATATATGGATTTATTTTGTATATTGATTGCTGATTAATTTTCTATATAGGCTGATTGTCCTGCAATATCGCATTTCTTTACCTTTATTTTACCTCATTACATTGTGGACACAGAACCCACAATAGCCTCCTGGTCCAGCGAAGTCCCACAAAAGGGTCAAGGCAACTAAATATTTGTTTGACTATTTTGTATATTTACATACGATGTAAAATCCAGAAGTTAAAGGACCACTATAGTGCCCCCTTTCGGCAAGATCTGCGCGCGCATTCAGCCAGTCTCATAGGAAAGCATTTACACTAGAGGCGTTGAGGGCTGGATTAACCCATTTATAAACATAGCAGTTTCTATGAAACTGCTATGTTTATAAAAAAATAAAAAAAATGGGTTAACCCTAGCTGGACCTGGCACCCAGACCACTTCATTAAGCTTAAGTGGTCTGGGTGCCTAGCGTGGTCCTTTAACAGTCAGTGTTGCTTCACTACTGATTGATGAAACTGTATGATAAGGCCTTTTCCAAAGCAGTAAACTGGGACAAATTGTATGTATTGCTTATTTTGGAAATGTATAGTAGTAGTGCGTGGCAAGTAGAATACAACACAAATCCCCCCCCTTTCCCTCTCTAACCCTTCTTACAAATATAGGCCATTTAACTAACCAGAAATCAAGTACTGGGTGAAGCTCCCAGCAATGTTCAGCATGCTCCCTCCTGACGTCACAGCATGTCCAATCAAAGACTTCTCATAGAAAAACCTTTAATTGGACCATTTAGCGGGCTCAGAGCGCACATGTGGACAGGAAGGAAAGAGGGACACTAAAGAAAATGAATGGCTAGGATAGGGAGGCTGCAATGAAGGAGGTAGGAAGGGATGGGAGACACAAACTTCAAGCATACAGCCTGCAATGGGTGAATGCTAGAACGTTGGTTACCAGCACGCACTGAAAACAGATGTAAGATATGCACAGAATAAGTGACATGCTGGGGTTGTAACTAACCCCTGAGGAAAAACTGCACAGACAGATTCCTTCCTCCATGATCACTTTAAATAGGCAGAAATGGTCATGTGTGTTAAATTTTTTTTTTTTTTTTTTTGTCCCCTTTGGTCCTCCATGCATAATGTTTATTGAAAACATGGGGTTCATGGCTAGAATATAACTTTTATATTTGGATGCCACTGAGTGAATGAGATTGGATGACCTCAAAATATTAATAAAATTGATATTAACAATTTAGAAGTGTAACATCTGCATTAACCATACAATAAGTATGATGTTGAGCTCTGGGTGCTTGGGAGACCCCGTGATTGTGTTCTACCACTCAACAACTGTTTGAAACCGAACCAAAAGACTTTACCAGTACCCTGCAAGAACTATAGTGGTCTGAAGTGGTTATGGTGCTTAGATTGCCAATTTATGTAATTTCATAAGAAAGGTGGAATATAATCACCTTAAAGGACCACTGTAGGCACCCAGACCACTTCAGCTTAATGAAGTGGTCTGGGTGCCAGGTCCAGCTAGGGTTAACCCTTTTTTTCTATAAACATAGCCGTTTCAGAGAAACGGCTATGTTTATGTTAGGGTTAATCCAGCCTGTAGTGGCTGTCTCTTGACAGCCGCTAGAGGCGCTTGCGTGCTTCTCACTGTGATTTTCACAGTGAGAAGATGCCAGCGTCCATAGGAAAGCATTGTAAATGCTTTCCTATGAGACTGGCTGAATGTGCGCACATGCGCATTCAGCCGAGGAGGAGGAGAGTTCCCCGCCCAGCGCTGGAGAAAGAGGTAAGATTAACCCCTTCCTCTCCATCCAGCCCGACGGGAAGGGGACCCTGAGGGTGGGGGCACCCTCAGGGCACTATAGTGCCAGGAAAACAAGTGTGTTTTCCTGGCACTATAGTGGTCCTTTAACTGTTATATTCATATGTGTAAATCTACATTAATGTATGATTTTAATGATGCTCTTAGATTAGGTACTTTGCAGCACAACATAGACAACCGCATGATTTCAAAAACAGTCCCTGAATTTTTAACATTATACAATAAACCTTCCTGTGCGTGGGAACAAGAAATGTCACTGAAACCCCAAAAGAAATTGGATCCCTAGTAAAATATCATATAAATGAGCTTTGGAAAAACCTAGGGATCTCTGGTTACATCTATTAATAACTTAACAAGTACATAATATTCTAATGCAATACTGTACATATGACACTATATAAAAGTTAAATATTCCTTTAACCCTTGGATCACTGTGAAAAAGTAGTTAAAAAGAAACGAAGTCTTTGTGTGACTGTCATTTTATATTCTGCCGCTGTCTGTGCAAGCATCATATCTTTTTAACATGCACATTGTCTATAGGACCAGTTTGCATGACCAACTTTACATATGCAACATCCATCATCTTTGTGTGTCTGTCCTTTAATTCCCCCCAACCCCGTGTCTTTATAATTTGGTGGCGGCATTATACAACATCAGGGTTATTCGCTAAACTAGAAATGGTTGAGAATTGATCTGGAAATTTCAAATGTTAATCCAAAAGCTGGATGGATAAAAAAATCCTTCAATGTAGCAATTTGCCAGCTCGGCTATTTTAAGATTAAAAAAACATTTCCCTGTGAATTCCTCACAATTCTCAATTTAGTAAATAACCCCAACTGCAATCTCTACCCCCTCCTCCCCCAATGCTTTTAAATTCAGTATGGTACGACTGCCACAATAAAATAAACTGTATGGCTATCTGTATGCTTTCAATGTGTCCTCTGTGTGGTTTGCCTTTTTTTTCCATGGAGGATGTCTTTTGTGGAGTTGTCTATCTCCACTTAGCATGTTCTGTGCGGAGTGTCCTCTCTCCACGCAACATGTCCTATATATATTCTTTCTACTTTGTGCATCTGCCTCACTCCACTTTGAGTGCATTTTACGGGGCTTCTTGTCTCTAGTTCTTATATCTTGGTGAAGAACATTTTCATATCTCAACAACTATATGATACAGTGGTTTCCTGTGTATGTGTATTTATTGGTGTTTGTTTATACATAACAAACAGCTTTGTGCAGGATAGGTGAGGAGGATAAGACCGTCGTTAAACTCCATCATACAGACTGCTTTCTGAGACTTAAAGAATAAGTGGTGATGGTGGGGAACCAGAGACATACGTAGACTCACTTACATGAGAGTGGAAATTTATATTTATACAATTTTAAAGCCATATTAAATTGTATCTGTGATTAAATAAAACAATTCTAAATATAGCTTCTAAAATACGTCTTCTACAATATTCAGTCTAGTCTAGTAGACATAATCAAATGAAATGTTAGTCTCTCCATCGGAACAGACATTCTCCATATAAAAAGTCAAACTAATCTTTTTGAAAGCTAACATCAAAAAGTACAATTTGCACAGATAGACAGATGGGTTCATAGTAGCTCATGTGTGTTTATGTGAAGGAAAAGTATTAACGTAGCTTTAAATAATCTGTGCCATCATATTGCATAGTAAACATTGCCTATATCCTCTCTTGATCATTTTAAAATGTGTTCAGTGTGTTTATGTCTAATAAAAAAATAAAAATGTATTTGTTTATTTAGTAAAAGAAAAAAAAAATCAGTTTTCTGCAAAGTGGAAAGCTGGGGTCTACATCGCAAATTACATTACATTATTTGACTGCTAATATCACATGCCCCCTGCAGCCTTGTTTTTGTAATGCCTTTTTCTTTTTTAGTCGTTCAGTTTGTCGGGAAAGAAAATTGTTTATTATACCGGGTTTGACCAGAGGAAAAGGGCAAATGCAGGTTTTCTTATTGGTGCCTATGCGGTGAGTATTTCATCATTTTCAAGGCTACTACAGTTGTAATAATAATGTCAATAGTAAATAAAAACCTCTTAAAGTGACACTAAACTTATAAAAGTTCTTTCAGATACATGTATTTTTAGCATTTTGAGAGGCTCAATGTTTTTTAGGCTAGAGTTGTACTCGAACAATATTAGACTATGACTCCAGTTCACCAAAGCTTATTTGAGCAGGGAACTCATACTTTTCCTGTATGTTTCACTTTTTGCTACTTTTTGTTTTAGTCCATCTATTGTACAGCGCTGCAGAATTTGTTGGAGCTGTATAAATAATAAAGGACATTATTAACAGTGTTATCACTAGAACTTCGTGCAGTGATTGTGTTTCTGACCATGCCTTCATGCTGTGCCCTGGTTCTTTCTTAAACTGTTTGAGCAGTTTGACAAAAAAACAGGATCTCTATCTTGTATCATGAAACTGCTCCCCCTTAACCTCATTGATAATGTGGAATTTACACTTCTGCATTATCTTTGTCAATTGCATCTAGCCTGGACTAGCCGTGATTTTGTTGTTGGTGCGACAACATTTATTTAAAATGCATTGATGTACTGTTTGGTTTAGTACAGTATAGCCATCTGATTTTACCAAATCTGTGTATTTTTGGTTCCGATAGGTGATAATATGTAGCCTAATACAAATGGTAGCGGTTTATATTCTTGTGTATAATCTGATACCAGTCGGTGTGTATATAAAAAAAAAAAAAATCAGGTAATTTTAACACTACTACTGTTTTAACAGTACTCATGTTCTGCGTATGCTCCCTCCTAAAAATTATATTTAAAGGAACACTATAGTCACCTAAATTACTTTAGCTAAATAAAGCAGTTTTAGTGTATAGATCATTCCCCTGCAATTTCACTGCTCAATTCACTGTCATTTAGGAGTTAAATCACTTTGTTTCTGTTTATGCAGCCCTAGCCACACCTCCTCTGGCTATGATTGACAGAGCCTGCATGAAATAAAAACTGGTTTCACTTTCAAACAGATGTAATTTACCTTAAATAATTGTATCTCAATCTCTAAATTGAACTTTAATCACATACAGGAGGCTCTTGCAGGGTCTAGCAAGCTATTAACATAGCAGGGGATAAGAAAATCTTAATTAAACAGAACTTGCGATAAAGAAAGCCTAAATAGGGCTCTCTTTACAGGAAGTGTTTTTATGGAAGACTGTGCAAGTCACATGCAGGGAGGTGTGACTAGGGTTCATAAACAACGGGATCTAACTCCTAAATGGCAGAGGATTGAGCAGTGAGGCTGCAGGGGCATGTTCTATACACCAAAACTGCTTCATTAAGCTAAAGTTGTTCATGTGACTATAGTATCCCTTTAAAGGAACACTCCAAGTACCATAAACACTATAGCCCACTGTAGATGTTATTTTCAAAGAGTATCTTACACAGTAATTTGTCAAACCACTTAATTGAACATTATAGGGTCAGGAACATAAACAAACACTATGTAGGTGGCCGGCCACCTCTTGCCCTCCTTAAGTAAGTAAAAAAGTAAATTACCTTTATTCCCGCACTGCGTAGGTCAGCTGGCGCTTTACCCACGCCCGGTCCACCTCCTTGGCTGAGATCATCAGAATTGACAATCTCAACTGATCCAATGCTTTCAACGACAAAGCACTGTATTGGCTTAGATCGTCAATTCTGATGATCTCAGCTAAAGAGGGGGGTGGGGCAGAGCACAACATCATGGTGGCCAACCAGTATCTCCTCATATTTGAGGAAGTATTCTTGGTAATAACTATAGACAGTATATAGATATTATTAGTAAACTGTATATACAGTTTGCAGTTCCAAGAAGGATCTTTAGTAAATCTTATAGACATTGTTAATAAGCCAAATAGACTGTATATAGACAGTTTGAAGAAGGATGTACCATGTAGACCGTATATAGCCATTATTAGTAAGCTATATAAACATTATATAAATCTTATATACATCGTATATAGACTGTGTTAGAAGCAGGATGATTAGTAAACCATACAGACTGTGAAGAAAGATGATCTGCTGAACTGTACCTGGTAGCTTTTTATCCTCTTCTCCATTCCACTGTGACTACCCAGTATTCCCTTTTGTTTGGGAGCTTCTCATTCTACCTTGTTAATATTTTCCGGAAGAACAGAAATAAATAGAGCAGGTTTCGTATGTCAGTGTAGGCTACAAAATCAGCCTGTGAAGCTCAGAGCTCCCATAAAGCCAAGCCAATTGTGTCCTCTTTTCAGAAACACTAGGCTGTCTGCTTTCTAAACGTTAACATAGGATCTAAAAGAAACAGAATCCATTCCAATGTCTTGTATGTTATCTAGTGCAGTTTGCTCTTAGTCTACTAATATTGTATGACTACATTTAGTTGTCAGATCCCAAAATAATGTAAAAAGGAACTATCATGAAAAAATATATATATTTTGTAGTATATATCATCATGTGCTGTTTTGCAAAGTCCTAAATCAGGGATGCACAACAAGTAGATTCCTGGAACTACAACTCCCATGATGCTTTGCATGCATTTTGAATGACAAAGCTTCATGGAAGCTGTAGTTTTAAAACATCTGGGGATCTAGCTTTTGGGCACCCCTGTTCTAACTGATAAGTCGACAGTAGTTAAAGAACGCTTCAGTTCCTGCACATTTTATAGTGGCCTTTTATTGTGGCCAGCCTAAGGCACACCTTTGCAATAATCATGCTGTCTAATCAGCATCTTGATATGCCACACCTGTGAGGTGGATGGATTATCTCGGCAAAGGAGAAGTGCTCACTACCACAGATTTAGACAGATTTGTGAACAATATTTGAGAGAAATAGGCCCTTTGTGTACCTAGAAAAAATCTTAGATCTTTGAGTTCAGCTCATGAAAAATGAGGGCAAAAACAAGTGTTGCATTTAAAATTTTGTTCAGTGTGTGTATATATCTATTTATTTATAGTTGTTGATTTAATTTCCTTTACACATTTAATATATATTCTATCTCATGAACATGAGGCCAAAACTTGGTAAAACATAGAAGTTACAGGGCGCCACATTCACCAGATAGATAAATGAGGATTGAAATAAGATTAAAATAACACAATTTATTGAGAAAAGTTAATTTTTCTCAATAAATTGTTATTTTAATCTTATTTCAATCCTCATTTATCTATCTGGTTATTGGGGCGCCCTGTAACTTCTATGTTTTGTATTGTATTATTAAGGTTGGAGTGACCTTTTATACAATGGCTAGCCTGCACCTAGATATCACTGCACTTTACCCAACTTTATTTTCTTTTCACAAAACTTGGTAAATGCACATATTTTGGTTCAGTGCCAGGCTTACGCCTGAAGTGTCGTTTTAAGTTGTGCTGGCGATTGAAGTTTTCCTTTAAAAATCCTCTCTCCAGTAGAAGCCACTGTGTTTCCAAAGTATTTTGAAGACAGCAGTTGGCCAATTATTTGGAAGACTTGGGAACAGCCTAACTGTATAGAGGCAAGTCAGTGACCCATGCTCACTCAATTGATTTGTTCCATTGATGTGATTAAGAGAGTCTGGAGGAGGGAGTGAGAATTGTATTTTTTTTTCTTTTAAATTAAAGAGCTATGGCCAGTACAGATTAACTAGGGCAGTGATGTGAAATATGTATGGCCCGATTCAATTCCGGGCAGGCAGTGTGTTTTGGAATTTAGTCCTGCTGCGGAAAAGTGGCAGGGCTACTAGATAGAGAACAGTGTTTGGGGCACGGCATGTGAATGGTATACACTTAGTGCTTGCAGACCTCAATAGATGACGAATCTACGGCTATGACGTGCTCTATGGAGTCAGAGCGCATTGCAGACTCCCAGCATGCACTCTGACTCAGTGAGTGCCGGAACTGCGAGGAGCAGGTCATGGTCTGAGGCATGTGCTTCATGTATTGGAGCACAATTTGGCTTAAAGGTTGGTGAGAGATGGAGATCCAGCACACACACAGCATACACAACAGCCAGCCCCCCGCCACACACACAACATGCAGCATACAGCCAACATACACACCCACACACACAACATACAGCCAGCACACACACACAGTAAATTGGCCCCCCTATAAAAGTTTTAAACTCACCTTCTTTAAAGTGCCGCGCGGGTGTGCCGGCACTGGCCCCGCCCCTTTGTGGCATCATCAAAATGGCCGATATTTATTTTTATTTTTTTAGCCAATCCAATGCTTTCCGATAGGGAAAAATGCAGTTTTGGCCAATCAGGACCTCCTCAAAGAGATGCATTGAATCAATGCACCTCTATGAGGAAAATTTAGAGTCTCCAAGCAGAGAGTGGGGACGCTGAACGGCAGGGCTGCTTACTATGCAGCCCTGAGCCAGGAAGCCCCTCCAGTGGCAATCTAAGGAGTGGCCACTTGAAGGTGTCCCTAGGGGCAATGTAAACACTGCCTTTTCTTTGAAAATGCAGTGTTTACATGAAAATGCCTGAAGGGAACTTTTATACTCACCAGAACAAATACATTAAGCTGTAGTTGTTCTGTTGACTATAGTTTCCCTTTAACTGTGCTTAGTGTATTACCTTTATGGTATATGTATCGCCACACTTTGCAAGCTTGTTGCTCTGTAATGCATTCATGTTTCTTTCTCACCAACATTCCTTTTGCTGTTTTTTTTTTTTTCTAGTGAAGTAAATCATTGATCATCTTCTTGTAATCTTCATTTGTAGGTTATTTATTTAAAGAAGACTCCAGAAGAGGCATATAGAGCTCTGCTGAGTGGGGCTAGCCCCCAGTATCTACCTTTTAGGTAAGTCAACTACTGCTCTGTTTCTTAAATATGTTCTTAGGATCCTGTACTAACCATAAGTCCTGATCATTGTCGTACTGCTTTTGACACTGATGGAGTTTGAAAATCTAATACAATTGACTGACCATGTATATTGATGAAATAAATCTGGTGTTTTGTTAAATATGTTGAGGTTAAAATCACACAAATGAGTTTGTAATGGTTAACTTATATTAGACTTTTAGGTAAAAGGTGGTGCATAGAAAGGGCATCTTTTTAAATATTTGATAGTCAAATGTGGAGTACCAGTCACATTGTATGGGGCAGCCCACTGGCACAGAAAAAAAGCAAAAATGTAACCAAGGGCAGTTAAAATAAATAATAAATAGGTGGGAGGAAGATTGCTAAAGAGAGAGCATGTCTTAAGAAAGTATTAAGTTGGTAGTATATAGCAGGCAGTGCTAGTGTTATCTTAGATGTTTATTCACTAAACAGTTAATTGTTTTGAACTTAAAAACAAACGGCCCTATTGACAAATGTTTGGGCAGTATGAATGATTAGTAAAAATTGAAAGCGAGGCTATTTTATAAACATAGCAGTCTTCTTTTTGCAATCTGTTTTTCAGCTCACCACAAGTTATTGTTTAGTTAATAAACACCTGCACTTTAATAATAAGCCTATAATTGTGATGTATCTCACAGATTATTAACATGTGAGCACTGTTCCATCTTTGAATTTTATTTAGAAGTGACAACAAGACAGAGCTTCAAATGTCCAGAATGCCTGTGAGGTCCAAATGTATTCATACAATCTATAGCATAGCAGTATGTCAGGCTTATTCACTCAAGTGTGAATTGTTTGAACTTAAAGCTTAGTTTAAAATTGTTTGACAAAATAGCCAATCTGAAAACAGGGGGGGAAAAAAATCCAATTCAGCTCTATTGCTGTAAAATTAGAATTTCAATTAGAACTTGCTTTGAACTCCCATCATTTCCCCCTCAATTGAATAACCCTTTGAACCGTTTATAAAAAAAAATTCTAGTTCGTCTATTTTTGCATAAAATTACCATTGCCTTTGTTAATTCTTTCCAATTCCATTTTAGTAAGTGTTTTCTGAAATAATGCAGTTATTTTTGGTGGGAAATAAAAAAACAGTAGTCTAAAAATGACTGCCTTGTCTGTAATTACCATATTCTCCAACTTCTCTTTTGTTTGGCAATGTTAAGGGATTCTTGCTTAGAGATGTATTGTCTGTTAAGAAATACTTGGTATAACTTAACTTTCCTATTTTTCATAATAGGCTGATTTTTCTCAGAAAAGCCAGTGTCAGATATCTAATGTAGAAATGCAATGTTCCTAAGCAGGATGTTCACTTTGTAGAGTAGACAGATGCCTCATGTGGCATTCTCTATCAGCACTGCAAGGATAAACCCACGTGGCTCACACACCCCCTTAGGGTGCTTTCTGCTTCTCCCGATTTAATCCCTTCACTCACACAGCACCTGGCCTCGCATTACAAAGTATTACTTCCAGTTATAGAAATCTCAGCGCTGTTACATCATTGTAGGCAAGAACACACAGAGAATTATGTGGGCAGAACAATTCCAGGACCAAAGTAATAAAATAAAATCTGCAGGAAAATTCCATTTTTTTTAAAGGCCATCGCTTAATTTATTTTTTCTTTTTCTTGCAATTGATGTATATACTGAACTCCTGTAATAATTTTACTGGATAACAGGCAGTGGGGTTGTAACACACAAAGGAGAATATTTTTAAAGGGACACCATAGTCACCAGAACAACTACAGATTAATGTAGTTGTATGGTGAGTATAATCATTCCCCACAGTTATTTTCATGTAAACACTGCTTTTACATTGCCCCCTAGGGACACTTCCTGCAGCCACTACTCAGATGGCTACTGGAGGTGCTTGCTGGGGCAGTGCTGCACAGCGTGGAGACGCTGAACATTCCTCATAGAGATGCATTGATTCAATGCATCTCTAGAAGGATGTACTGATTGGCCAAGCTAGTGTTTGGGCCTACTCCCGTCTTGCTGATTTCAGCCAATCGAATACTTTCCCTATGGCATTGGATTGGCTGAAATCATGAATTATGATGTTAGCAAGGAGGTGGTTCGGGGGTAGATGGACAAGAAACCTAAATGGTGTTTTTAACACTATATGGTATAGGAATGCATGTTTATGTTCCTGATCCTATAGTGCTCCTTTACTGACATGTGCACAGAAAGTAAGGCACCTTAAGCACATACAGCTGCCTATGTTGCATTTATTTAGAATGTTTGTAACATATGCTCCAGTTTGAACAGTGGCCTCCATTTACATGATATATACAGAGCCCTGTAGGACACACATTTTCATATAGAATCATATAGATTTCTCAGAAAAGAAAGTCTGATGAATTTGGATCCTTAAACAATGGGCCTGCAGTGAGCAGGGTGCCTTCCATCCAGAATAGCTGGGTACATAATATTAGATGGCCATGTCAGCTGAACAAATCACATATATTAGTCAACATTTTCCTGAATGTGAAATGGTGATGCTCCTCTTGTAACTCACTGCTCAGATTTCTCTTTGGGTTTGTTTCAAAGCATGAACTCTTCAACTCACAGAGCTGGAACGTGAGATGTCTGAAAATGGATTGGGGTGTGACTGTTACAAACCCTTGTTTGGGAATACCCACTTAGTGCAGCCTACTATCAGTTTTCAGAAGTCTGCTGCAGAGAGCACAATGTTCTTAACTGTTACTTCTCCTATCTGCATAGACTGTTACATTTTGAGCCCTCAATGGAGCAATTAGCACAATTTTGCCCTTTATACATAACCAAACAGTTTGGATTATTTTAAAATTTTAGTTGGCGATATTTGCTTGTACCATTGAGAGCTGTAGGAATTTATTTTTACCAAAAAACCTGTGTTTCCTAAACCAGTCCTCATGGCCCACCAACAATTCCGGATTTATGTATTTTCCTTTTTTATTGCAATCAAGATACGGACAAAACCTGGACTGTTGTGAGGACTGGTTTGGGAACCACTGCTCTAGAACATATGATGAATTTTCAACTTGTTCAGAAAACCGAAAAAGCGTAAAACCTAATCACGTTTCTCCATTATTTTTATTTTTTTTAAACTATAGACATTCCTTTACCTAAACAAAATACCTTCTTTTTTTTTTAAGGAATTTGAGATTATTGACTAAACTTGGAGTAGTAGAGAATAGACCATAACATAGCAAATTGACATAATTAACCATTTCAGCTATGTTTTTCAACGTAACTATTTTAGTGTAAAATTTGTAATTGTGTTTTTTTTCTATGATTCGTGGTTTTCTCAGTAAAGCTGCTATGTGTAATGAAGTTCTCTGGTTGTTTTGGGAAATTGCCAAAAGTAATGTATACGGATGATTTTTCCTTTTAACCTTTTCTTTGAATAGTACATTATGAGGCTATATTCACAAACAACCACTATGGATAAAGTTCTAACATGAAGCATTTGCTGATCATGTTATTTGTCTTCTCTAGCAAATACCTCAGTTTAAAAATATCGTTCTTAACTGTTAACCTCTCCTATCTGCATAGAATGTTAATGATACTCTGAGCTTTGAGTGAGCTATTTCAGGGGATGTTAACGTGTTCCATTCTCCGGTTGCTATTAGTTATTTAGTTGGTTAGTTGAGCATTTTTTAGTTTTTTTGTCTTGAAATCATAGTTATGATGTACACTCTTTGTAAATCAGTAGAACAGGGTTCTAATTTATAAAGGAAAGTGCTTTATGGACTCTCCTACAGATGGAGTCAGGGCACAACAGTTCCACTCATCCACATGCCATTGGCGAGTGAAATTTCAGGCATAGCCCTAAAAGGATACTATTCCTGGCGCTATCACTCCCCATGCCTCCCCCGTGCATTATTGGTTAAAACCCTTTATTTACTTACATGTCCCTCAGCACTAGGTCGAAGCTCCCCCTCCTCCGACGAGCGGGCTCTAATGCGCGGCAAATGCCATGCACGCATTAGACATCCCCATAGGAAAGCATTGAATCAATATCAATCCTATGCAGAGTGTGAGGATGTCCCATGTCAGATACCAGACCAAAGGTCCGTTTCAAACCAGGAAGTACTATTGTGGCTATCTGGTCGACAGCCACTAGTGGCTGACTTAGTGCTGCAATGTAAACATTGCAGTTTCTCTGGAACTGCAATATTTAACATTACATCAGTAAGGGCAATAGATACACTGAATCCAGACCACTTTAATGAGCTGAAGTGGTCTGGGTGCCTACAGTGTCCCTTTAAGGTTTGTAGTGGTCAGTAACTTTCAAGTCTGGCCAACAGCAAATGACTAGAAATGTTGAGCCCTGAATGGAGCAATTGGCACAATGTTGCCCTTTATACATAACCAAACAGTTTGGATTATTTTAAAAATGTAGTTGGCTTGTTAGAAGAACATTTAATGTGGAAAGGACACTTCGAGACGAATACCATGACTGGTTCAGAAACTGACAGATCCTGGATCTAATTTAAAACTATTTAGTGACAGTCCCAATTCTACTTAAAACAGCTTTTTGTTTTGTGACCCAGGAAAAATATATGTATGCTAATTCCACCACTAATATCACAGAGTGATGTTCCTCCATGAACTACCGCTTTCATAAGCAAATACCATAATAATCTGCATTCTCTTTTATTTCCTGCAGAGATGCCTCGTTCGGGAACTGCACATATAATCTATCCATACTGGACTGTTTGCAAGGAATCCGTAAGGTAACTATGAGTGGGAGGAACAATTCATCTGAATAGTAAGATAGAACTGCCTGGTTTACAGGTGCAACCTAGTTCTCTTCAAGGAGGCTTGTAACTTTGAAGGGAACTAGTAACAATTTATTATGTGGGTAAGTTAGATGGAGCTGTTTAGTTACGCTGCAAACACTTGCTAGATAGGTGACCCATTAACTATCTTAAAACATTGCTCAGAAATGAAAAGACCGCAAGTTGCGCTAATGTAACTTACAAGACCAACCTAAGGAGTGCACATCACATAAATATAAGACCATTTACTGCTCAATAAGAAATATACCCCTTTCAAAAAACCCTCCTGTTATTGAAGAACTTTATCCTTGCGCACCTGAACATGCATACATTATAGGGTGCTGCTGGGACTAATTATAAATGTGACAATGTTACCAGTGTAAAGCAAACATCAGTATTATTATTTATAAAGCACTAGCAAATTTTACAGCGCTGTACAATGGGTGGACTAACAGACACGTATTTGTAACAAGACGAGTTGGACACAAAGGAACAGAGGGATTGAGGGCCCTGCTCAATGAGCTTACATGCTAGAGGGAGTGTGGTATAGTGACACAAAAAGTAAGGGTCGGTTAGAAAAATAAACTTCTTGGATAGGATAATCACTGAGGGGATGTTCGCAGTTTAATTGATATTCTTTCCTATAGAAGTAAGATTTCAAAGATTTTTTTTTTTAAAGTAGTGGAGACTGGATGAAAGTCTTACAGAGAGGGGAAGGGTGTTCAGTAGGGATGGGGCAGCCCTAGAGAAGTCTTTAAGGCGAGCATCAGAGGTAGGACCTCACCGACGCATTCATTATAGACTGTAACGGGGCAGGTTGGGAATACAGAAGACCATTGAGAAGCGGGTTACAGTAGTCAAGGCGAGAGAGGACAGCGGCATGGGCAAGCACCTTAGCCATATCAGGCATTAAATAGGGTCGGATGCGCGCTATGTTTTTGAGATGGAAGCAACAGGATTTGGCAATTGATTGGACATGAGGGGTAAAGGAGAGGTCGGAGTCAAAGAGAACACCTAGGCAGCAGGCCTTAGAGGTAGAGTGGATGGTAGCGCCATTGACTTATAGAGAAACAGACAAGGGAGTAGCGACACTTGAGGGAGGAAAGACCAGAAGTTCTGTTTTGGGCAGGTTACGTTTAAGGAAAGGAGCAGCTATCCAGCTGGAAATAACAGAGATGCAATAAGACACGAGTCAAGAGGGGTGGTGAGAAATCAGGGGAGGAAGATAAATTTGCGCGTCATCCGCATAGATGTTCTTAATGAGTGATTCTGTGGGGATTCCTCCTGCAGTTCCACTTAGGTGTGCTTGGTAAACCTCGTGGTCCCTGATTGTTCAATCTGCCGCATGCTCCTCTATCTTGTAACGATACTAGGCAGAAAAAAGTTGGCGCGCATCAAGTAAAACAAACACTACTTTTGTAAATAATAACAATATTTTACAGGAGACAAGAACTCTCGATATTATGAGCGGTCCTTAATTTCCTCGATAAGAAACGCTAGGTGAACACTGGCACTCTCGCTCAAAGTAGGAGTGTCTTTCAGAAATCAGAGAGATCAGACACATTTTGTCTCATTCCTGAGACTTTCTCAATGATCCGTGAATGATCAGTAAAATTCGGTCAGATAACTAATACTAGAGTCTGACCCAACATGGCTGCTGAGCCATATAAAATTTTTTCAATGTTCTCAAAAAATCAATATACATCATTAAAAAAAATTAAAATAAAAATGTGTTTCATTAAATGTAATAACCTTGTGGGTATCCTGGAGATTAGTTATAAAGACTATATCATGCAGCAAACTATGAACTCAAAGGAAAAAAGCTGCATATCACCCTTTTAGCTAAATACCACCTTTAAAAAAAAAAGCTATTTATTTAGTTTTTAGACAAAATTTTAATGACCACTATAGGCACCCCGACCACTTCAGCTCAATGAATTGGTCAGGGTGCCATGCCCTTCTAGTTTTAACCATGTAGCTGAAAACATAGCAGTTTCAGAGAAACCTAAACAGTGACTAGGGCTCTTTGTATTCCTAACGCTATAGTGTTCCTTTAAATGAGTGTGATAGACAGTTGTGTATTGTTACACAAATATAATAACAGCATTTCAGACTTATTGTAAACTGGAGACTTCAAATCAGCGTGAATAAGATCTATAAATAGCAGACAAGCTCGATATTTTTTTAAATTTTTTTTTTTTTTTAAATATGTGTAAATGTACAAAAAAAAACAGGTGCCCTTCTGGATGTTGTAGAATATGGGAAGTTCTCCTTATATTCCAGATGACATAGCTGACACATGCAAGAAGGTGGGGAGGATAGCAATAAAATGAGATTTTTAATAATCATTCCATATAAAACTCAGGCTGAATATGGTTTCAGCTCTGCATAGAGGTTCTGTACACCAATTCAAGAACAGCATAATAGCATTCCCATCAAACAGTTCTTTTTTCCACTTACAAGTCCAGACACCTCATTAGAAGACACATTTCATAACCAATGCTTCCTTTGTTCTCCTAAGTGTGTGGCACAGTTCTCATAAAAAAACATTTGAGTGTTCATGTTGATTGCTCCACTTTTAGACCTTTTCCCAGTTAAATTTAATCTCAAACCTGGTTATTTTGATTGTTAAAATAACGCCACAACCTCCTTCCCTTATTCAAAAGAACATATTAGTTTTTATGTTGCAGAATTGTTAAATACTTGATGCTAACTACTGGCAATAAATGGACCTATTCGATTATTGTACAACATTGGATGATAGCTCTTATAGACTGCATCCCTATTTACGGTACATTAAAGTTTCTCATATTAAAGGAACACTATAGGGCCAGGAACACAAGCCTGTATGCCTGATCGTATAGTGTTAAAACCTCCATTTTAGGGGGTCGTCCCCTTAAAGTATCTATCTTTAGAATCCCCCCCACCCCCCTTAACCTTCTTAGAAAGGTTTAAAACTCACCTTGAATTAATGCATTTCTATGAGGAAAATTCAGCTTCTGCAAGGAGATGCGAAATGGCAGTTTTGCCTACTGTGCAGCACTGCTCCAGGAAGTACCTCCAGTAGCCATCTGTTGAGTGGCTACTGGATGTGTCCCGAGGGGGCAATGTAAGCACTGTCAGTGTTTGCATGAAAATGCTTGAAGGGAATGATCATACTCACCAGTACAACTACATTAAGCTGTAGTTGTTCTGGTCACTATGGTGTCTCTTTAATAAAAGTGCAAGAAATATGGGGGAGGGAGGGGGGAATATGAACCCTTAACCCCTTAAGGACCAAACTTCTGAAATAAAAGGTAATCATGTGTCTTTAAGGGGTTAAACATATGAAAATAAAACACAATCTATAATCTTTTGTTTTGTGTCATGCTCTAAATTTAAAAAAAAAAGCTTTAATATATTTTGGAAGAGAATACTATTTCGAGCCAAAATTGCATGTGTGTTGGTAGTTGTTTTTTGAATCTTAATTAGAAATTGGACCGTTCTTATTCTGCAATGGGAATTTAGATTCATTTTATTGCACATTGTATTCAAAAATTTTGTGTTTTTTTTTATATCCCAACGTAGTAAAGATTTTAATGTTCCACTTAAAGTATCTTTTATGTCTATCTTTACAATGCAAACAGACTCTCGTTTAATGAGTAGGATATAAAGATGTTTTTTTTCCCTTTAAAACAAAACAGACATTTTTACATGTACATAATATTTTATAAATCTTGTAAAGATAAAAACTATATTTATATAGAAAACAATGCATGAGCTCATTCTTGAAACCTTTATTTATAATTTTTTTTGTTAGATTTTGGTGAGACAGCCCCCTCTAGTGACCAACTACAGCAATATAGTTGACTTAATACATGGTCTTGTGAAAATTGATTTAGAAAATTAATTGACCTTTATTCTGGTATTATATTAATCTGTTCTATTCTACGCTACTCAGTGAGAAATATAAAGAAGTATTGTTTCTGTTTACACTGACTCAGTGTTTTTTATATTGCTCTTAGAAATATAAAATGTTATAGTTCCTGTTTGACTCACAGTTTATTGCGGTCTCTCCTCCCTTGAGATTTAGAAAATGTTATGTCTGCTTTTTGTAGAACACTCCAATATACTGTAGTTGGGGACCTTCAGAAATTAGCTTTGAACGCTTGAATGTTTGTTTGTTTTTTGTTTTTTGTGTGTGCACCTCAAGCATCTTTAGGCAGTTATTTCAATTATGAAGAATAGGAAACTTTTTATCGCAGTTGATCCATAACACAGTTAAACAGAGTAGTGCACCAATTGAAATGCTTTGTCCATGCTGGAAGAAAGACTTGACACTAGTTTCATGAATAGCACAAGAGTAGACTGGTGAGATGCAGGGCCAGAACATGGGGTCTATTGGAGCTGAAGCTCCAGGCTCACACATCAATAAGTCCAAGTGGTCTGATGTGTGTTTGTTTTTCTTTTGTAACTGCTGTCCTAAATTGCTTGGTACCACTGTCACAGAGTGTGGCCAGACTGGCACAGATATCCTACCTGATCTAACTAAATATAACAAAACATTGCCCAAAACACTTTCAATGCCAAACTACACAGTATATGCTAAACTCTATATCATCTGCATAACAACTGGGGTTCCAAATGTGCCCTAGACCCACTGCACACAGAAAGGGTATATCCATGCCACAGCTCATTGCACATGGGATGGATGTCTTGTTTCCCATGCCCTATAATTTAGGCTGTAACCCATACGTACCTGTGCTCTCCCAGTAGATTTCTCTGTGCATTTGCATGTTTGTGAAGATTTTAATATCTAGACTGAGACTGAACAAGGAAATGAAGGGAAAGTTAAAGAGGAGGAATAATATTTGCTCAAAACTAGCCTCTCATAGGAAAAAGCAACCCATAGATAAAACCTAACCTTTGGTAAATCTATTGAAATAAATATATAGAAAAGCAATAATCAAAATAAAATAAAAATCTTAACCATTGTACAGCGCTACGGAATTTGTTGGCGCTATATAAATAATAAAATAATAACCAAGATAAGGCTATAGTAATGTGTCCAGGAAAGCACAGATTTTAAGGTCATATTGTATATTGTATATTATAAAGTTTAGTTTTGTTAACAAAACCATTTTGCATTTTTAAATTGTGTTATGAGAAAACCAGGAACAGTATACATATGTCATATTGTGTTTACATTTGATCTAATGCCTCTCTCTTCGTCCCAGGCTATGCATTTTGGATTCTTTAATTTTGAGCACTTTAACGTGGCTGAATATGAACATTACGAGGTAGGTTCATCTTTGTGTGTTTTATCCACAGAAAGGGCAAGGGTTTCAAATGAATAATAAATGTGGGGACCTCCTAATCATTTTAGGTTTGATTGTTGTTCTTTAAATGTTTATAACCAAATAACGTGAAGTTGACAGCTTACATTTTACTAGTTATCACACATCACAAGTTATTCATGAAAACGCTTGGTGTCGCACTTGTTTTAAAATATTATGTCCCACATATGACAAGGACCATTTTTTTTAAATGTTGGGAAATGCATGTTATGTTTAGCTTGTGCTGTAAATGTTTAATATGCCATGTTTGAATATAAATATCTTGTAATCCAGAAACATTTGTTACCTCTTGCCAACATTCCTAAGCTTTTAAAGGGAATTGTTGTCGTGAGGGTTACAGTAAAGGCATCTATCATATGGTTGATATGCGATCTATTGCTCTTTGTGATGTTTGACATGTCCCTTATGAGAAATAATGTTCTTGTTCACACAGCGGGTGGAAAACGGGGATTTTAATTGGATTGTTCCAGGGAAGTTTCTTGCCTTCAGTGGGCCTCACCAGAAAAGTAAAATTGAAAATGGTAAGTAGCGAGGCTTAGTGCTTCTTTCATATCTATGAAAATAACCCTAGATGCAAATTTACCATTCATTGCCTTGCTGGTAGTTTGTGGTTCTAAAGAGGAACATTGGGGCAGCAGATCTGCAGCCATTTTCACTAACGGTGAGAGCAGATCTGCAGCCATTTTACAAATGCCAGCAAAGTTTCTAAACGCGAAAGTTCATCAGTTATTCTTTTGACAGACATCTCTAACAAATTCATATAAACACTTTTTAGAGTAGTTGTGCCTTTAAATATATTTAGCTAAATTTTTAGTAGAGAAATAATCTATAAAAAGTCATAAAATAAGTTCCCTCTAGAGTTTTCATAATCCTAATGTCCAACTTAGAATACTGTTCAAATAGTTCATGTTAACTGCTCTCTAGCAACCATTAAAGGAACACTATAGGGACAGGAACACAAACATGTATTCCTGACCCTATAGTGTTAAAACCACTATTTAGGTGACTTGCCCCTTCCTTTATCCCCATAGGGGAAGCATTGGATTGGCAACAAGGCAGGACAGGGTCGGGGCCAAATGCCAGCTTGGCCAGTCAGCACCTCCTTATAGAGATGCATTGAATCAATGCAATGGGGAAAGTTCAGAGTCTCCACGCAGAGCACTGCCACAGGAAGCACTCCAGTGGCCATCTGAGAAGTGGCCAGTGGAGGTGCCCCTAGGGGACAATGTAAATACTGCCTTTTGTATTATAGGCAGTGTTTAGGTGAAAATGCCTACAGGTTCTGACTATACTCACTAGAACAACTACATTAAGCTGGTGACTTTATAGTTCCTTTAATTAAGTGTGTTCTGAGGTGAGAAGAGCAGGTAAAGTACATATAAATTCCACTTACATTTGTTGAACTTCCAGATGACCTCTGCTATTTTACAATCACTCCTTTTTGTGCACCTACTTGGCATGGAAAACATGCCAAGAATAATAGGACATTTGGAAGTTTCATTTGATGCCAAACTGTGCCAGCACAGCTTTGCATTTGACGCAAATACAACATTTTAAATTATCCACTATCTGCAGTCACAACATACTTTGGAAGGCCATCATTTCAGTGCAAACATTCCAGTTCCATGCTGAAGCCTCTTAAACATTGTCCTTTGTTATTTACCCAGATCCAGTTATTTGCCATCCTCAGTAAGGACCTTATACTGTTGAATATACTTGCAAAAACTGATGAAAACCTGCGTTAAGCCGATTTATTTCCAACACGAATAAATCCAAGCTTCTGGCTAGTCATTCTTTATAATCCAATTCCCTCTGTGCCTTTGATTAATGTTCTTGACGTTCTTCGTACTGTTTCCAATTTCTTATGTCTTTGTGAAGTAGCTCCAATTGTCTTTGTCCAATGTTTATCTGAAACACTGCCAACTACAGTTTTAATCCTGCTTTGTAGGCTATAAAATTGCTGACCCTCCATGGCTAAATCTGATTTCTAAATTAGTTTTTTTTAGTGTATTAATAGTATCTCGTGCATTTTTCTCATCATTTACTAAAATTCTTTAAGCAAATCCCCCCCCCCCATTAATAGAATTAGAATTAAATACATTACAATTTGCTTGATCTGAAATTCTAAGATAACATTCCACCACATCCAGAACTTCTTATATTCATCAGACCTGACCCAAGACAAAGTGAATGCCAAAATTTGAAATGGGTGCTAATAGAACTATATTCCTTGTAAAGGTATCTAGAATTCTGTGATCGGTTGATATTCGTAAAGATTGATTGAATGTATACAGTAGACTGTGCCAAGTTACAGAAAAATTAGAGCAACAGCTGAAGGATCTGACCTTCATCAAACATGGATTTTAAGCATGCATTCGTAGCTGTATATAAATCCAAAAGTAAAATAAACTGACATATTTCTGTAGAAGATAAAAATTCAAACTTCAGTGTTTATTACAGCTTTTGTCACACATATCTTTGAGGTATGGTTTCTGCCTTTGTGTCCCAGATTCCTGTCGCTCTCCTGAGGTTCGCTATAGTGACTTTCTGTTGTTTCTGCTGTTTTCTTGATCAGACCATATTAAACGTTATCCAGCTGACCAGTTATTCACCATTCACTGTTCAATATTTCAACTTACTGTTCCTTATTCCATGTAAAGGTTACCCCATCCATTCTCCGGAGTCGTATTTTCCGTATTTTCGAAAACACAACGTTGTTGCTATCATCCGTCTCAATAAGAAAATTTATGATGCTAGTCGCTTCACGGACGCGGGGTTCCAGCACTACGACTTGTTCTTTGTTGATGGAAGTACTCCCAGCGATGGCATAGTGCGGAGATTCTTAAACCTCTGTGAAAGCATAGATGGGGCCATTGCCGTACACTGCAAAGGTATTATTCTGTAGGGTGAGCTTGTGGAATGAAAAATCAATACAATTAATGTAACTGTCAAGTACTCTGCTGGGGTGGATGTTATTGTATTCGCAGTATCCTTATTTTCCTTATTCTGCATTAAAGGACCACTATAGGCACCCAGACCACTTCAGCTTAATGAAGTAGTCTGGGTGCCAGGTCCATCTAGAATTAACCCTTTCTGCTGTAAACATAGCAGTTTTCAGAGAAACTGCTATGTTTACAAATGGGTTAATCCAGCCTCAAGTAGCTATCTCATTGACAGCCGCTAGAGGTGCTTCCGCGCTTCTCACTGTGATTTTCACAGTGGAAAGACGCCAGCGTCTATAGGAAAGCATGCAGCCAATGACGGGGAAAGGAGGCGGAGAGTCCCCACCGCCGAGGGTGTCCGGCGGGGGAAAAAAGGTAAGATTCAACCCCTTCTATCCCCTAGAGCCCGGCGGGAGGGCGGCCCTGAGGGTGGGGGGGGGGACTTAGAGACACTATAGTGGTCCTTTTAAGTTCTATACTTGTGGCCATTGTGTAACCATTATGTAACTGTATATGGCCATGATGATTTCATCTATTTGTACCAAGGAAATATAAAATGCAGAATATACCACCAAAATGTACACTTCTCACCAGCAGGGGGCATACCAGTTAAGAGTGATTGCTTTTTCTTTTCAAGCAATACCTCAGTATAATTGGAGTGAGCAATACTTCCTTGTGGACATAGTCGTTTATATTAAACGCTTCCTATTATGTATTTTGACTCAAGACACTGTGTAAATATTGCTTTTTCTGCAGCAGTAATAATGTTGCAACTAATATTGTCCTTGGGTTTGAATCACAATATGTAAATACTGCAGATAGAACATACAAGTTTGGAGACATTTTATCTCCATGAAATTATTTAGCCACAATGTAGATGTTCTATACTCTGCATTGTGTTTTTGATCTACCCCATGTGGTTATGAAGGTTATGAACTCCCCAGGTTCTCCTAACAATAAGCAACAAATAGACTGGATTGATTTAAATAAGTATGAAAAAAAACAAACCAGCCAGAATGAAAAAAATCTCTAGGTTTTTGTGACACTGTAACAAACTAATATTAATTATTTAAAATTGTTATAAAGTGCTCATATATCTTGCATTGTTCTTGGTAGTACCCACTGGAACTGGTTTTTAGTTCACTGTGTGTTCTGTTTGCCAGACAGCTCCTGGGTTTCAATACCTCCACATGCTATTTAGCACAGAGCACAGCATGAATATTTCTCTAATTAAAGTGATTAAAGAACTGTTAAGGGAAAAACAAATCAGGAGTCACTGTTACGTCAGTATTTAAAGTATTACCTTTGCGAGTGTATAGATTTATATGTGTATAACTTTTTTTTTATAATTGATCACCTTATTAAATCCGCAGTGCTTTATGGGCCCAGCAAGCATGTCTGGACATTTTACTTTATATAGATAGCTTTATGTATTAAGGGAACAGCTAAACTATGACTTCCATAATACATTAAATACCGGTAGTCAATTATTCATTGCCAATATTATATTGGAGAAGAACAGTAGACACTGTGGGTTGAAAGGGAAGGGCACAAATGATGGCTAATAAAATAAAAAATAGTGCAGGTAAATAAAGCCGTTCATCCAAAATAACTAACTGCATAATAAACTAAACATTTCATTACACTGATGGGTGTTGGGCGTGCCTAAATCTAAATCTGGCAATCACACGGAAACAGACATCAGGTAATGCAATACCATGGAGATATTTAGTGTAACTCACATGTCTATTACAGTGTATAATGAATTCAATATAATTCAATATAATAATATAATGATACAAAACAGTGAAAACCAGACAGCTCCATAATTGCTCCCTTGTCCCCGTGATTATGGTGTAGCTTAATAACAAGCTTTTGATACTCTTCTGTGATTATAGGGTTCTGTGATAACAAGCTATGGCTCTAAATTACAAAAGATAATTACATTCTACATACAAAATAGAGAAACAATGTATTTTTCATGTCACCTCTAGGGGCTCCATAGTATATTCTGTTAATTCTCATTCTATTATATAATGTCACCGTTTTGCAATATATAAACTATGAGTGATGGCACTGCTGCAGTAAATGGAATAAATGTCCCATGATGCTAAGCCAGGCTGGGCTACCATAGTGCCAATGTTTCTTGTTATACAAACAAAACCTGGGGATAAGTATTTATTTATTTTTGGATTCTTCACAGCTGGACTGGGCAGAACAGGCACCCTCATAGCTTGTTACATGATGAAGCATTACAGATTCACGCACTCTGAGGCCATTGCTTGGATCAGGATATGTCGGCCCGGCTCCATCATTGGGCCCCAGCAGCACTTCCTGGAAGAGTAAGTAGTGTCTCATCGTAGAGCTTTACATGTCAGGTCTCAAAGTGGTAATGTATTCACTAAACCAAAACAGAGCTCCTTACTAAAGGGAATTCCACATTTTAAGGCCAAAGCAGTCAAACTGGAAAAATTCTCCCAGTCACCTTCCAATTTGGCTACTTTGAGCTCAAATTTGAAATTCTCTTTGAGTTCACTTTACCTTCCCAACAAGTCTTACTTTAGTAAATATCCCTGAAAAGTGTGGTAGTTTACAAACAACTTTTTATTGAATAATCCCTCTGTTTTAATTATATGTTAGTCCCACGTCTCTGTGGCCCTAGTAATATTTTTTATTTACATTTCCCATAATGTTTATTCAACCAATAGGCCTAATGGCATTGCTCAAGTGAAAGAACATGTCAGTTAATTGTATTGTTTCTACATTGACAATTTCTTCCTAGATGTCATGTTCTGGGTTCAGACGTGAAGATCATCACATGGCTTGAGAGCCTTCCAGACATTCGTATGTAGACTTAACCTATGTAGAGTTCCAAATTAGTTGGGATAGTTGAGCCAGCATGTACCTCACATGTGAAAGTGAGCAATGTACCCATATTCCTTGATACAATAGGTAGGCAAAATAGTTGTCATGCAAATACAATGAATACAAATTTCTGATTGGCTTAAACGCTAAAAATGCATTTATTGACATTAGTACAGTGGTTCTTAATACATGGGCAACAACACAAAATTGGATGCCAATACTATTTAAGTGGGTCCTCAGTATTTGTAACTGATATGTCATATGTATCATGGTTCAGGCAACAGCCCTAAGTAAACATTTACCGCAGACCCATTTCACACTTGTGAGAGTAAGTATTTTTCAAAATGCTTAGAGACACTATAGTGGTCCTTTAAGTTCTGTACTTGTGGCCATTGTGTAACCATTATGTAACTGTATATGGCCATGATGATTTCATCTATTTGTCCCAAGGAAATATAAAATGCAGAATATACCACCAAAATGTACACTTCTCACCAGTAGGGGGCATACCAGTTAAGAGTGATTGCTTTTTCTTTTCAAGCAATACCTCAGTATAATTGGAGTGAGCAATACTTCCTTGTGGACATAAATGCTTCAAAATGCTTTTCTAAATTCTAGACTTGTGCTAAATTTGTTAAACTTGTGCTAAATTCCTTTTATTATACACCCGAACAAATTAGTTTACATGGTATTTACCTGTGGAGTTTTAATGTTGTAATGCTAAATGAGAGTCCCCAACAGCCCATCATCTCTGTGCTGATTGGGTTAAAGAGGAAACAATAACTTGGGCAGCTGTGAATGGAGAGTGTCAGCTGACGCTCATTGGAGGCATGAATCACTATGGCTACAAAGAATTGTTATCTCTGAACTAGCATTACCTCCACTGGGGGTGGGGCTATTGGAAGACAGGGACCCTCATTCAGTGTTAAATTGGTTTAAAATGGTTTAACACAGAATGGAGAGACAGTGCCATGGGACCCCAGACACTATAACCATTTCAGTTTCAGCCTTTCCTTTCAAACAATATGTCCTTCACCCACAACAAAAGTAACATTTAAATGTTTACTTGATATGAAATCCCTTGTTTGGGAAACTTGATGCTATCTACTAGCTACTGAGCTACTTTTTGTAGTGTGTTTTTTTTTTTTTTTTTTTTTTAAACGCACTTTCCATTTGATAAGAGATTTTGAGGTCTGTGTGCAGCCATTCAAGAACAGACTGGTCCCCTTGTAATTACTGTCACATGTCACCCTCTGAGTGTGTAATGGGAAGAAGCTGGGTATTGGATGACTTGCTTCTCACCATCAGCTCTGAAATAACTTTCTTCCCAGCAATATGAATGAGTTTAGGGATCTAAAATATAGTGCAAGTAGATCTTGCTGAAGATGTGATAGGTGCTGTTAGTCTTTGACAGGAAAGTGCTGCAGTGGGAGTGGAGTAGAATTGATACTAAGAGGACTGAAAGATGTGAGCTCATTATTTTATTTTTTGTATATATTTTTTGCATTTATATAGCGCAAACATGTTCCACCGCACTTTACAATATTATATAATGGAGAAATTTAACAATAAATGAGACAAATGCACAATAGGTGGATGAGGACCCTGGTCAAATGAGCTTACAGTCTAGAGAATGTGGGGTATAAAACTCCATATAACAGGCATTAAGGGGGATAGTAACCAAGCAAGGTGGAAGTGAAGCAGAACTAGAGGAGAGAGTGGAATGCTGCCCTTTAGAGAGAGAGACAGGTATGTGAGATAGTGGTTACTCTGGGAGGCCATAAGCTTTCCTGAAAAGATGGGTTTTTAGGGACTTCTTAAATGATTGAAGACTAGGGTAGAGTCCTAGGAAAGAAGATGACCGCGAGAAGTCCTGCAAGGACAAGCTAGCAGTAAGGGAGTAAGGTTGTGAGCAGCATTCAGGAGAAAGTCAGTGAAGAAATGTAAAGGGATAGAGTTGTTTAGAGTTTTATAGGTAACGGTTAGTATTTAGAATGAACCCCTACAGGATACTGTAAGGACTGACAGAGGGGCGAGGTGTGAGAGGAGCAACTGGAGAGGAAAATCAGCCTGGCAGCAGCATTCATTGCAGACTGTAGCTGGGCAGTATGGTTTTCATGGGCATGTAAGCTCATCTTAGGTGGTAGAGTGAGGAGTGAAGTACTTGTGTAAAGTTTATCTGGGGTAAGCTCACCTTAAGTCGTAGGACTAGAGGAATAGAATAGTCATGTAATACGTCTCTCTCAGGTCACACAATCTTTCATGCTATCTCTTTCCATCTGTGTCACATGCTCTCTTAAAGGGACACTATAATCACCAGAACCACTACAGCTTAATCTAGTGGTTCTGGTATCTATAGTATGTCCTTGCAGGCTTTTCAATGTAAACACTGCCATTCCAGAGATTTCAATGTAAATGCTGCCTAGTTACCCAACTAGTGGCAGCCACTCAGACAGCCATTAGAGGTGCTTCCTTGGACAGTGCTGATGGCATGTAGCACTTGTGTGTTCAGTCTCTCCACACTATGCAAGGAGACACTGAATGCTCCCCATTCAGTGCATCTCTATGAGGATTTGCTGATTGGCACAGCTCTGCATTTTTTCCTATGGGAAAGCAATCCATTGGTTGAGATCATCAAGATTGATAATCTCAGTCTTGAAGGCGGAGTCAGCTGCGGCGAGACTTGTGCAGAGATGAAGAAAAGGTAAGTTTAAACACCTTTTAACTCCAGAGTTAAGATGGGGCCGATCATCTAAATATTTACTCCAGCACTATAGTGTTTTTCTTAACACCATAGTGTTTCTTTAAAAGGAAACTATAGGCTAGAAATCCAAAATTGCTTTCCTAGCCTATAAGGCCCCCATCACTCGTGCTCCCTACCCCCTTTAAAAACCCCTTTCTCACTTATCTGAATCCAGCGCCAAAGTCCCTTGAATTAATGCTTTCCTATTGGATTTTAGCTGACTCTGGATGTCCTCATGCATAGCGTAAAGACGTCCAGCATCAGTTAGGCGACCAAAATTTGCCTAATGACCCGTAAGTGTCTCTAGTAGCTGTCTGCTAGACTGGCACTAGAGGTGGAATTAACCCTCAAAGGTAACTATTGCACTTTCTCAATAACTGCAGTAATTATTACCATTGCATGGTTCAACTTGACAGGTACAGTGCACTCAGACCTCCGTAATGATCTGAAGTGGTCTAGGTGCCTATAGTGTCCCTTTACTGACCGTTTTTCTCTGTAACACTCTTTCACTTTCTACCATATCCCCCCTCTCTGATTTATCTATTCCCTTTGTATCATGGTGACTCTCCTGTCTTTGCCACCCTCTCCAGGGCTAGATATACATTTTAGGTGCTTCTAGTCATAAAATTATCATACCCATAATAGCTTCTTAAATGTTACGATTTGTCTTTAAGCGCAAAGTCCTTTGTTAAGTTTAGATTATACCACAAGTTTCTGCAATGAATTGAAAAATTTCCATTTGAGTCATTTTATAACACTCGTAAAATCTCAGACCAAGGATATAAGGGGACTATATTGAACATGCATATTCTACTCTTACTGCATATCAAGCAGTATCTCTACACCTGAAAAACAAAAGGCACAATCATCCAATCAACAACTCGTTAAAATATACATTCCCTCGGAATATGGGATGAACTTCGCTATAAATAAAGTTTTTTTCCTATACAAAGTCCCATGCAATACCCCTTATTTCTCCTTCAGTCATTTACAAGTATAGAGGGGGCTGGAATCCAGCGATATAATCCTCTCTCTCAGGAGTGACATTTTATCTTATTGGAGTCTTTGACTACCGGAGTTCATTTGACTATGACTATTTGTCTATTTTGAAAAAGGTTAGAGCCTTGCTTCCTCCGTAGCAGTCAAATCTGCAGCCATCATCCCCAACATACTTGTATTTAGAAAACATGTATTGTTGGCACTACCCCGGATTCATGCATGTTTATATTAAATTCCTGGCTTACCTCTCTCTCAAATACTAGTGTACTGAATTATGTCCCAGTTGAGATGAAAACATCAGAAAGAATATACAAGGATTGACTGGAATGAGATATGGGAGGTCTTGTCTAGGGTGTCTCTCAGTGGGATTACAGAAATAATAATATAAGATATTTAGGAGAAACCAGGCGCAGACCTCTGATGGTGACTATGTGAATAGAAGGGTATATTCTACTATTTGTAGTCGGGGCAACATAGCTGTAATGAAAGTAACCTAGCACATTATAAAAATAGACATATTTGACTTTCACACTAGTCGGTTGTGGTGTGCTGGAACCGACAAAGCAGTAGGCTTTTAATAAGTGGGCCCACCTTAGAAGGTGATATGATTAGAGGGAGTGGTGGGAGGGATGACTCGCCAGACCATAAACGGTAAGGTGGAAGAGGATTGGCAGCCCTTTTAAAAGGGGATCAAGCCCCTCCCACAACTACAGGCCAAGGCCTTAATATTTGTAGTCGGGGCAATATAGCCGTAATGAAAGTAACTTAGCACATTATAAACATAGACATATTTGACTTTTACACCAGTCGGTTGTGGTGTGCCAGTACCGACAAAGCAGTAGGCCTGTAATAAAAGTGGTAGCAATGCCTCCAAATTGAAGCTTTCAGTACTAAAATAATATGTTCTCAGATATGTTTTCACAAATGCATCACACCAGATCACTGAGTGCCCCTATTGCCTCCCACATACAGTTGCAAGAAAAGTATGTGAACCCTTTGGAATGATATGGATTTCTGCACAAATTGGTCATAAAATGTGATCTGATCATCATCTAAGTCACAACAATAGACAATCACAGTCTGCTTAAACTAATAACGCACAAAGAATGAAATGTTGCCATGTTTTTATTGAACACACCACGTAAACTTTCACAGTGCAGGTGGAAAGAGTATGTGAACCCTTGGATTTAATAACTGGTTGAGCCTCCTTTGGCAGCAATAAATTATTGGGAAGTCTGGTGTGAATCACTTTCTTGAGGTCATGCCACAGCATCTCAATCGGGTTAAGGTCAGGACTCTGACTGGGCCACTTCATAAGGCGTATTTTCTTCTGTTTAAGCCATTCTGTTGTTGATTTACTTCTATGCTTTGGGTTATTGTCCTGTTGCAACACCCATCTTCTGTTGAGCTCTAGCTGGTAGACAGATGGCCTTAAGTTCTCCTGAAAAATGTCTTGATAAACTTGGGAATTCATTTTTCCTTCGATGTTAGCAATCCGTCCAGGACCTGACGCAGCAAAGCAGCCCCAAACCATGATGCCCCCACCACCATACTTCACAGTTGGGATGAGGTTTTGATGTTGGCGTGCTGTGCCTTTTTTTTTTTGCCACACAGTGTTGTGTGTTTCTTCCAAACAACTCAACTTTAGTTTCATCTGTCCACAGAATATTCTTTACATGGTGTGTTCAATAAAAACATGGCAACATTTCATTCTTTGTGTGTTATTAATTTAAGCAGACTGTGATTGTCTATTGTTGTGACTTAGATGATGATCAGATCACATTTTATGACCAATTTGTGCAGAAATCCATATCATTCCAAAGGGTTCACATACTTTCTTGCAACTGTATAATAACTTGACGGAAAGAGAAAACAAATCCTAGTAACAATCAAAGTGTATTGACTTTATTATCTGGGTGGTCTGAGGCTCCTTTATTCAAAGCTATTATCACTTGAGAAACTATTAGGCCCATTTATGGCAATGTTTTATACAGCTGTGTTGTTTCAGTGGCCTGTAGATGTTCTTCTTGTTTTACTATGCAGCCACAAAGTAGGTTGTGTTGGACTTGAAGGGGTGATTTAGTCCAGAAGGTGGACTAAGGTTTGACATTTTGTAGGCAGAACTAATATCAGACTCTGCATGTTTTTAGGTATTTTACTAGAATAGAGTGAGCCTGTCAGCGTGCAGTTAGGTTATGCACTGTTCACTAACTTCCCTTTTACATTTATGAATGTAGATACAAGTGAAACCATTTTTGTTATGTTACATATACAGCATTATATGTCTTTGTCACCAGGAAGCAGACCTGGCTGTGGCTTGAAGGTGACCTCCATAGGAGTAAACAGAAGCAGAATCCGCTGGAGGATGGAGCTTTGACCCGGATCTTATCGGATTTTGAGGATATGTCCGTAAGCGAGAGGCTGTATCGTCATTTAAATCTGGACAAAACAGGAGAGGTAACTTGTCATTCCAAATAGCAAAGTACATATCTAAACCAAGGCTTCTTTTTTGTGCAAAAGTCACAGAATGAATTGTGTACATTCAAATTAATTGAATGCATATTTGTATATTGTTATTATGCATATTACTAAACAAATTGCTCACAAGGGTAAATTCATAAACTATAGATTTTTCATTTATTCTTGATTAGGCACACTAAGAAATCCAGAAGCATTATATATCTGGTTAATAATGATCCATTGAATTGTGATTTGTTTTTGTTTTGTTTTTGCTTTTTTTTATATAAAAAAAAATATTACACTATACAATTGTATGTGACAGCATTCTGTCATGGCATTAGAAATGTATTTTACCTTGCCTTTACTGCTCTTATGAGTTGTGGAGTGTAGCCTTATATTTCATAGAGGTAGCAAATCTCCTATAATATTATATTTGTATCTACAGGTGATACTCGAAAAATTAGAATATCGTGCAAAAGTTCATTTATTTCAGTAATGCAATGTAAAAGGGGAAACTAATATGAGATAGACGTAATACATACAAAGCAAGATAGTTCAAGCTGTGATTTATCATAACTGCGATGATTATGGCTTACAGCTCATGAAAACCCCAAATCCAAGATCTCTCAGTAAATTAGAATATTGTGAAAAGGTGCAATATTCTAGGCTCACAGTGTCCCACTCTAGTCAGCTAGCCATAACACCTGCAAAGGGTTTCTGAGCCTTTAAATGGTCTCTCAGTCTAGTTCAGTAGGAATCACAATCATGGGGAAGACTGCTGACCTGACAGTTGTGCAGAAAACCATCATTGACACCCTCCATAAGGAAGGAAAGCCTCAAAAGGTAATTGCGAAGGAAGTTGGATGTTCCCAAAGTGCTGTATCAAAGCACATTAATAGAAAGTTATGTGGAAGGGAAAAGTGTGGAAGAAAAAAGGTGCACAAGCAGCAGGGATGACCGCAGCCTGGAGAGGATTGTCAGGAAAAGGCCATTCAAAAGTGTTAGGGACTTTCATAAGGAGTGGACTGAGGTTGGAGTCAGTGCATCAAGAGCCACCACACACAGACTGATCCTGGACATGGGCTTCAGAAGTCTTATTCCTCTTGTCAAGCTGCTCCTGAACAACAAACAACGTCAGAAGCGTCTTACCTGGGCTAAAGAAAAAAAGACCTAGTCTGTTGCTCAGTGGTCCAAAGTCCTCTTTTCTGATGAGCGCAACTTTTGCATTTCATTTGGGAACCAGGGACCCAGAGTCTGGAGGAATAATGGAGAGGCACACACTGCAAGATGCTTGAAGTCCAGTGTGAGGTTTCCACACTCTGTGTTGATTCGGGGAGCCATGTTATCTGCTGGTGTTGGTCCACTGTGCTTCATTAAGTCCAGGGTCAACGTAGCCGTCTACCAGGAGATTTTGGAACACTTCATGCTTCCTTCGGCAGACAAGCTTTATTGGAATGCTGACTTCATTTTCCAGCAGGACTTGGCACCTGCTCACACTGCCAAAAGCACTAAAGCCTGGTTCAGTGACCTTGGGATTACTGTGCTTGTTTGGCCAGCAAACTCGCCTGACCTGAACCCCATAGAGAATCAATGGGGCATTGCCAAGAGTCGGATAAGAGAAATGAGACCGAACAATGCAGAAGAGCTGAAGGCCACTATTGAAGCATCCTGGTCTTCCATAACACCTCAGCAGTGCCACAGGCTGATAGCTTCCATGCCACGCCGCATTGAGGCAAAAGGGGCCCAAACCAAGTACTGAGTCCATATGCATGCTTATACTTTTCAGAGGTCTGATATTGTTCTATGTACTCTACTTGCTTTATTCATTGCATGTAATATTCTAATTTGCTGAGATTGTGGATTTGGGGTTTTCATGAGCTGTAAGCCATAATCATCGCACTTATGACAAATCACGGCTTGAACTATCTTGATTTGCATGTAATGGGTCTATGTCATATATTAGTTTCCCCTATTATGTTGCATTACTGAAATAAATGAACTTTTGCGCGATATTCCAATTTTTCGAGTATAACCTGTATATGTGGAATTATGTTCTTTCAACTAAATTGCATGATTTGTTTAGAATAGCCAATGCATATTGATTGTTATTGATGAGAAATTTAGCTGTATGGGGACAGTGATTTACATTGGTGGCTTTTAGTGCCAGATTGCTTTAGTATCTCCCTGCTGGTATATTTTACAAGAAGGACAATATAATCCCCAAATCACACAGGCCACAAGGTGGGGAGACAGCCCCAAAAGTGGCAGCTATGACCCCACTGCTTGATTATATTAACCCAGGGATTTCAATTTAGAAGGCAGCTAAAAAGGTTAGGAGCCATTTTTCCCCACGACAAAAATACATTTTTAAAAGGAACGCAATAGACACCAGAACCAGTACAGCTTAATGTAGTGGCTCTTGTATCTGTTCCTGCAGACTTTTCAATGTAAACTCTTCCTTAGTGTTTACTTTGCTGCCTAGTGACACCTCTAGTGGCAGTCACCCACGCTCCCTGCATGGAAGGGTTGCTGAACGTTCCCCATAGAGATGCATTGATTTAATGCATCTCCATGAGGAGATGCTGATTAGTAATTGATAATCTCAGCTATGAAGGCGGCCAGCTGCGGCGAGACCAGCACAGCATTGGGGGAAAAAAGGTGAGTAAAAACATTATTCCCTTGCGATCGGAGGGAGGCTAGTGACCTAAACATACATTCACTGACTGACACACACACACACTGACAAACACATATTCTCTCACACACTCTCAAAGTATTATTTATAATTATTATTTGGCACACTCAAATAGATACACACACACACACACACAAAGATTCATAGATATACAAAGACAAATACACATACAGACATACACAACAGACACACACACACAAAAATAAAAAAACATATTTTTAGCCACCCTCCTGTTTCCTACCTTTTGGGCCTAGGAGGTGGCTTCCCTGGGATCCAGTAGGCCTGGGCAGCAGCAAGTTGACATCAGGTTAGTGCAGATGGCTGCGGCTGATGGAAGTAGGCTGCTGCTGTTCCAGACTCCCCCTCCTCCTGTCTCTCTATGCCCAGGTGCACTGGGAGGAAGTGAAGTGAACTGTAATCATTTCCTCCCAGTACACCGCTTCACAGATAGTTGCATGGGGATTAAGACAAAAGGAACGGACTGATCAATCGCAGGTGACAGAGCAAAATTCATAGTCACCATGGCGACCTGACGCCTGGGATTTGTTGAGCCCTGTATTAACCCTCACTTCGTTTATGAGGTGAGGGGAATAATAGTAATATGGGTGCACAGTGTTCCTCTGGTCAGGAAGGTCGTGAATCTTTGCTAATTCTTTTTAGGTCTACATTACAAGAAACATTATTGTCTTTCTTCTACTTTAACTTGGGTTTCAGGAATCCCCAACTCATATTATTTAGCATTTGCCCACTGCACATAAGGTCAGTAGGAAATCCATCCTGCATCTCACTAGGGGATCCTGAGGACCCAATTCACCTTTTTATTCAATAATTAATTGCCATCATTGAACTGTATCTTGGAGACAATGTGTCCCCACTTTGGTGCAATGCATGTTTTTTGTTTTTTTTCCCCCCACAAATATAGTAGTTGGTTGAAAATAATTAAGAGTATAATGAAGTAAATAATTTGACTGAAATAATGAAAGCGCATAACTCTGCCTCTCATATGTTGTATGACATTAGACTACGTGATTTTTTTTTTTTTTATATACATTTAAAACTAGTTTCAGTTTATATCCTGGCATTTACTGATATAATTTGACAGCACTGCCATTGGACAACGTAGAGATAAAAGTTTAATATTAGGATCGCACACTTGCTTGTCACACCGCAGTTAGAAGATCTGTGTATATTTGGGAAATATTGTAATTTTTTTTAAATGTTTTTTTTTGGTTAATAAGTAATATTTGCATCATTTTTGGTCAGATGTGAGCACATTATATTTTTAGTCTTAGAAACTCTTCAGTCAAAATGACTGAACCACTGATTGAAAACCCCATGCAGCTTTAGGACATTATCATATGCTGATTTATTCTTTTGTGGCATTGGCAAGCACAGTACAATACAATAAATGGTCTTGTTCATATGAGCAGTTTTAAGAACCTTTAAAAGTGAAGAGTGTAGACAATTGTTTGAATATTCAAATAGTTTCTACATCTTTCACAGCCCCATGCCTACCTTGAAAATGTCCAAGCACGTTTTAATTTTAAAACAAGAAAGGATCATTAGAACTTCCTTTATGGCAATTTTTTTATTTTTAAGTTGCTTTAAAGATTCTGATAAAACTCAGATTATGATAACTCAATAATATTAGAATCCTGATTCAGTTGCAACTACCCACCATATTGGTATCATTTAAGACATTCGTATTTTTAAGATGTTTTATCGATTATACATCTTTGCAAATCTCCCTCTCACCCCCTCAAAAAAAATAAAAAAATAAACCTATTAAATATATAGTGTGTGTGTCGTACACTTTGTCCTGACCAGCAGCACTTTCCTTCTCATGCAGCATAATGGAACTATTATCCCTAATGACAGACATTCCCAGAGCTATTCTGAATGTTCCCGTAGCTTTATTCCTCCTCCCATTCACAGCATTTTCTGCCCCTCTCAGGTCTCCTTGCATCTGTAACCCTCTCAGTGATCTTTTTTTTTTTCTTTACACTCATTTCGCTGGCTCTTTCTTGGGGAATGTCGCTTTTCACATGCAAAATCATTCTTTCATGTCTTCACTATTCTGTCCACTACAATTGCTGCACTTTTTATACACTTAAAGTACTCAAGTATTTATTAAATTGAGAATTTTTGTGAATTTAAAATGAATTGCAAATATAAAACCAAAATGGCCGACCTGGGAATAATCCTCCGTCAGCTATGCTTCCATTTCTTTATTAAGGCCTGAAATTTGAAATGCACTTCGAATTTGTGACAATTCTCACTTTATTGAATAACGTGCTAATCTTAACCAGTGGTGGAGGAAGGCAGCCCAAAAGTTCTTGAAAAACAAACAAACACAAAAATCTCTTTAAAGCTGGCAAGGCATCATGGGGATTGTAGTTCTAGCTGTGGTGGCAACAATCTAGTCACAAATCCAAAACAATTTAGTGCAAAAAATAAATATAGATATAAACCTAATAAACACTTGTATCATTATCAGTACTTGTATCAATAACTAAAACTAATAAATGGTAATACAGTGTTGTGGTGCTGAAAATCTACATCCACATACCCTCAATGAAGCAGGTACCAGCAGGCCTCAAATTGACAAATATTTCATATACATAAAGAAAAAAACATAAAAACAAAATGTGTGCCAATTAAACAATCTGTATGTAAAATATACATGTATTGAATGTATGATGCAGTGTTTGCCTCTTATAGAATATTTCTGAAGAAGAGTTAGACTATAAAAATGGTCTCACCCAAGGAGACAAACTTCGTGCCTTAAAGAGCAAAAGACAACCACGTTCAGCAACTACTGGAGCACTACGGTGAGTGATACCACAAACTGCAGCTTGTCCTTCAGAATGTCCCACCCTTCTTCCTTGTATTCTTTAATCCGTGTATGTGTGTGTGTGTGTATATGTGTATATATATGTATGTGTGTGTGTATGTATGTATGTATGTATGTATATATATATATATATATATATATATATATATATATATATATATATATATAGTGTAGATGCTTGGCACTCTCCTTCCAAAAATTAATCAGAAGATTGCCCGGATGCCACCCGTGTCAATATATAGGCAAAAGTATAATCAAGTGTGCACTCACGGGACTTCAAGTGGAAAAATGTGATTTAATTAAATATAATTACATCTGAGAAAAAAAGTAAACGTTTCGACCCTTGAAAAAGACCCCCCAGGGTCGAAACATTGATTTTTATTTTATTTCTCACATGTATTTATATTTAATTAAATCAATTTTTTTTTTCACTTGAAGTTCTGTGAGTGCACCCTTGATTATAATTTTGCGTATATATATATTCCATCATTCCTTCCCCCTTTCTCTGTTTCCTGAACTGACTCTACTTTGATAAATTGTGTAATTTCATGAAAGAATCTCTTCCTATTCAATCATCTGTGCAAGTCAGCCTCCTGAAACTGCAGTAAATGGGGTGTGTGTTCTCACACGTACAGCATTCTTCCCAGCTTGGCTTAGAGCACACTATGTGACACGTGTAGCACTTTCCTTTGTTGAAGGTGCTAATTAATTAATATAATTAAAAACAATATTTAAAAATTGCACAGGTCACATTTTAATCTATATTTCTATTCAACCATCTTTTACTGTGTCATTCGATAGTACTGGTAATAAACCTCACCATTGTGCCATGTTACCTGCTAATATTGAGCATTTTATGTTTCAGTTTGGAAGACTTGAAATCACACACAAGATCCACAACATCACAGCCTTTCAGGTGATTTGTGTGATATTTGCTGTATACATACATACATATATATTGCGTCTATATTTAATCCTAGATGTGCTTTGTGAACAGTATTTTTGTATTCTTTTTAAAGGGACACTCCACTTACCTAAGGTGCAGGGATGCATAGAATTTAGGGGATAGGACCAAATGTTAGGAAACAGGCAAAATATTCATTAACTATTTCAGTTCCAGAGTCGCACATCTCGCTTGGACACATAACTAGTCACTCTCTCTCCTACATTCAAACACACATAAGTAGCCATTTTATGTCAGGACAGTGGGGAGATCTTCATACCTCTCCCAACAGCACAAATCAACGTTCGAAGCCATGCTTTAACCTACCTTCACCATGAGCTGGCTTCTAGCTTAGCCACACTATTAGAGAATGTAGCAGACCATGGGTAACCCGACTTGTAACCTCCGCTATTACCTTCCTTCAGCCACTCTGTAACCATCAGCACAAGTTAATACCCATTCCTCCAGTAACCAGACGAAACCTAGTTCTAGGAGTCAACTGAGGTTTATTGGAACACACACGGCTTTTATGCACAGACCTCTACATGGGGTCTCCCATACAATACTACAAGGCTTTTGCTCCCAGGATCCTCTACAGAAAAATATACAATATTCTAAAACACTCCAAAAATACATTTTCAAAAGGGGCTAAATTGATTGCATGGGAGGTCAGAGCTAATAATCCAAATTCCCACCTGAGCCACTCTACAAGGTGTGAGAGGTCACACATACGTGGCCTGGAAGTCTGGCTTCAGTATAAACAAACTCTCTCACTTGCCATATGTCCTGATTTTCTCCTAGATAAGGTGTCCTTTATGAATAGTCATCAGCCCTTAAAGCCCCCTGTGCTCCAGTATCATATTAAAAAGACACTAACACATACCCACAGATTAATAACTAAGCCTAATTTTTGTTACATTCAGAATGGGACAAGCACAATCTTCTAATCAAGCACAAACATAATTTGCGAACAAGGGAAAAATAAACATACAAATAAGTAGTAGTTCTGCCACACAGCTCCCCCTTAAACACAAACAATACATTGTTAAATAGCTCTGATCTGAACGCCCAAGTTCTCCAAATAGCGCTTAGATCCATGCAGGGTAGTTAGGTCCTCTATCCTGCTACATATATAATAACTCCTAAATGGTCTCTCAGACCTGGACCATAGTCAGTGGGCAGGAGGCCGGTTTCTACACTCCTCCAGTAGTCGCCTTTGTCACAGAGAGACAACACCATTATTTATTTGTCAAATACCTGTTTTGATTGAGGAAAGAGGGGCAACTCAGTTCTGAGCTCTTGGTCCAAGTCAATGTGGCATTGGATTTGTTTTATCTTCACTTAAGTACAGTCAACACATGGAGTACTTGATGCACAAAATTGACTTTTTTTTTTCAACTTCAAAAATCAGCATTTCCATTTTTGATTAAGCATGCTCATTATTATTGATACATTTTACTTATAGGGTGATCGCTACTAACAGTGCCCAGGGCTCAATGTCCCCATTGAAATCATCCAGAGTGTGTGCCTCCACGTCAGGCGCTGCCAGAAGGGCTGGGCAGAGCCTATTATCTTCCAGTAGCAAAGGGAAAAGGTGAGTTCTGGTGTTTACAGGAGCCTGGATTGTGAGATGGGAGAGGTAGGAGCCTGGATTGTGAGATGGGAGAGGTAGGAGCCTGGATTGTGAGATGGGAGAGGCAGGAGCCTGGATTGTGAGATGGGAGAGGCAGGAGCCTGGATTGTGAGATGGGAGAGGCAGGAGCCTGGATTGTGAGATGGGAGAGGCAGGAGCCTGGATTGTGAGATGGGAGAGGCAGGAGCCTGGATTGTGAGATGGGAGAGGCAGGAGCCTGGATTGTGAGATGGGAGAGGCAGGAGCCTGGATTGTGAGATGGGAGAGGCAGGAGCCTGGATTGTGAGATGGGAGAGGCAGGAGCCTGGATTGTGAGATGGGAGAGGCAGGAGCCTGGATTGTGAGGTGGGAGAGGTTAGAGTCTGGATTGTGAGCCTGAATTGTTTTAGCAGTTAATCCTGGATCATGAGTTTGAAGTCAGTGAATAATTACGAGTTATAGCTATTTTTTCTATCATTTGAAGTAACAATAGACAATAACCGGAGTTTAGAGCAGGGAAATAAAATCAGAGGTGAAGAAAGACACAAACAAAATGAGAAACAAAACAAATGAAATGAGGAGAACAGGATATACAGATGCTGGAGAGACTGAGGATGGAGAAATTAAACTAGTGAAATTTAGTTTCGCACAGACATAGGTGTCCTACTCCTTTAATATAAACTATGTGAGGAGAAGGCAGCTCACATTCTTACGGCATTGAAAGTGTTGACACTTGTTGCTCTCTTTGGATTTCATATTCTGAATTTCTGAGTGGGCTAATGTGTACCAGTGCTTGTCATTGTTATTATGTCATCTAGCTAATGGCTCGATCTGCAGTATAATCCGCCACCTCCATATCGATGCTACTCTGCATATCCCAAGATATTTATAAAATAGTTTTTGTTTTATTTTTTTGCTTATAGCCAGTATTTTCAAGGTCTATAGCTTTCTGTACCACTTTTTTTTTAACATTTTATTTTTCAGTTTTAGAAAATTGTCAATTACAGTTAACCGAAATCCGCACCACTGTTTTTAATGCCATCGTAATAAATATAATAAAAACAGCTGTCAACTCCTCCCCCCCCCCACTAAATTCTTGACTTGCTGCCAGAAACAAAAAAAAAAAAAAAAAAAACATCACTTCACTTCTTCCTGTAATTGGAAAATCCCAGGACAGACAGAAAAGTCCAGTTTCCTTAGCTGACTCACGGGCTAGGAAAATTCTCCAATCTTGTGCTGCGCTTGTGTCTGGAATGTAGATTTAGATTGCAGATTAGACTTGTGTAGTATATGCGGTTCCTCTATAAAAAGTACAGTCTTTATATTAGTTTTTACCTAATCCCCAGACAGCATGGCGTCTATCATGTTCAGGTGGTTTTGAATTCCCCCTCCCTTCCCTTTTTTAATTTTTTATTTTTTTTTTATATAAAACTCACCACCTCCTGTTGACATTAAAATCCATACAAATACTACTCATTACCACAATACAAAGTATTTGCCACTGCTGCATCAATCTTAATACTAAACTATTTTGTCTGTTATATTATATCTAATTATCCTTAATTCACATTTCAGGGTTTACTAAAGATGTAGTTGCAGCTCAATTGCGTGATCTCTGCAATGGATTATAATAAACAATACATTTAACTACAGTTTCCACTATAATATCCATTTTAAATTCTGACATTGATCAGTGCAACCCACAACTGTGATAATGCTGGCTACATCTTCTGTTCTGTCATTGCTTATGACACATCTACTCCTAGATGATACTATGGTGTTAAACTGTTTTTTTTTGTTTTTTTCTTTGTAGTAAAGATCTGAAACTGTATATTATTTATTTATTTATTTTTGTGCGATTTATTATTGTGTGCATTGTTTTATGTATTTTAAAGTAAAGTCAGCTCAACTTAGCAATACATGTTTTGGTACAGCAGCCAAGTACTGCTTTTATTTTCCCATTTATCTTTAAGATTAATAAATAAGGGATTATAAGAATAAACCAATCCTGAAGATGGATGATTTAAGGCAGAAAGGATCATAAAGCACACATCAACATGTATGATACCTCCTCCCTAGCTCTTTAATTGGCTATGTTTAGACCCAACCAATTATGTTGTAACAATTACCATAGATAACTTAACTTAATTCTAGCAGGTAGAATCCAGGTAAATGGCAGAAATACAAGATGATTTGGGAAATGTGTGGATAAGTGCGAAAATGATTGCAAAGAAGTCACTTTGTCTTAAAGGAGTTAAAATTAGAAGTAAGAGTTTCTGTGTAATAAAGTTTAAACAACTAGGGTCCTTCAGGTGCCAAGGTTATATTTTGCATTTAACTCTTACAAAGCATTGATTTATAATACACAATTAATTTTAATTACACTTTCCTCATTAATAATTATTTAAAAATCTGACATTTTTCAGTACAGCACATCACTGTGATAATGCTGGTTACATTTACTGTTCTGCCATTGCTTATTACACGTACACTCACTTCCATTGAATGTGCTTATCTTCTGTACGCATGATGTGTATAAACCCAGAATCAGCAAGAGCTATGCATATAGAGTAGTATTTGTGAAACATGTTTAAAATAAAAAAGGCAAATAAAAAAAAAATAGAGCAATAGTTATTGCTTCACTTATAGATTTATGTTCAAGAAGAACTTCAGATGTTGTACAACTACAACTCCTACAATGCTTTGTTAACCTTTAGAATGGCAAAAAGATCATGCAAGCAGTAGTTCTAAAACACCTGTGCATCTTCTGTTTTGGCACACCTGCTTTATAGTGTCTGTTATTCCTTTATATGTACACAAGTAAGTTGTGTCCGTTCATAGTCTGTGTTACCCCTGCCTCATGTTTTTTTCCCTCTCAGTTTTGCCGGGTCACTTGGGAATCTGAATTCTGCTCTAGAAGAGATAGACAGCACCCGCAGCTCTTCTCCCTCCCGCCCTAGTTATCCCCCGGCACTCCCCAACAGCCTGTATTCCTCCCATACACGTGGTCGGATTCAAGGAGAGCTAAACAACAACCACCATACCTTGGGCACTCGTACCAACACCTATGGATCCTTCAGACCTTCCTACTCAGGCCTTTCTGCTAATGCACGTTACATGAGCCGTTCTATTCCCGTAAGTGCCCAACAACTACCACAAGGCAAAGGGGCAATACTTCCTTTCAACTGCACCAACCTCTACTCATGCTTCCATTTTTGTTTTCTCAGTTGACTGCTCTGCTTTGTGGTTTTCCTAAATACATCCCACCAAGCTCTACATGTATGTTCCAAATTTCTCCTACAATTTCTCTTTTGGTGTATGCTGTATATATTTACTATTTTGTGGGACTTTACTGAAGAGATGTATAGACCATAAAAAGCCTATACCTCTGCTGTCTCTCACATTACACTTACCATTCTAATTATTACTACCAGGAATAGATACCTATAAAAACAATAAAGTTTAAAACAATCCCTAAATGTATACATTATTTAAGCCATTATAATCCTAATGTTTCTGCGGCAGGAAAACTGTAGTCTCAAACAACAGTGCTACTTTTTGCTCTAAGCAATAGCCATCTGTGTGTTTACATTGTATCCTCAATATATACTTCACAGTCAATGGGTAAAACAAAGGAGTCTTCCTTAACTAGAGGAGGTGTTGTGCCAAAAAAGAGAGAAAATTTTTAGGATTTAAAATAGAGAGAAAACTAACATTTAGAATCTAATGGATTTTGGATTTTTTTTTTTACTATTTGACAAAGAATAAAGCTTTTATTTTTTTTATTATTCATTCCTTATTTTCGATTTGGTGTTTTAAACACACAAGCATAAGTGAGGCAAGTACAGATAATACAAGTCCGGCCAGAAAATATCCTGGGAGAAACACAGGGTGTAAGCAATTGCACAAACTATGGGCAAGATCATCAATTACATTTATGTGACCTCGTATGTCACCGATGAAGGTATTATGTAAAAAAATAAAAATGAAACAGATAGTTGTCACTGATAAAAGATGATAAAAATAATAAGAGAAGTGGTATTCACAGGAGGATAGCAAAAATTAGGTTTAGCTCAATCCTATAGGCGTAGGTGGTATGATCCCCACCTTGGATATCGAAGAGAGAGTACTCTTGATTAAACTGCTGAAAAACAGTCAGGGAGGTCCAAGGTAAAAAGTACACTACTTTTATTGGATATAAAAACATATAAAGTAAAATACACCAACACGTTTCTCCAGACAATACGCGTTCATGTATGTTAGAAATCCTATATTTTTAAAAAGAGTTACTGGTCCAGTAAAAGCCCTTTATATGTGCATTGTTGTCACCTGGTAGGAATTACAATGAGGGGGTGGGGATAAAGCTAATTTATTGTCTTTTAAATAACATTAATTGTTGCACAAAAAGTGTGCCACCAGTCATATAGAATGTGATGTCATGTGATCTCTATTCTGAAAGAATGAATTACCTCAAAATAACAACATATAAATGAGATCTCCAACAGTGCACAGTATGTGAACTCACATACTTAGAACAAAATGTAAAAAATATAGCATATTGCAAAACTACTGTATATGAAATGTGAAATTAGACATACTATGCACAAAATAAGTCAAAGTAAATCACAATCAAATACTGCCCCTTTAAATAATATTTTATAAAAAAAAAAACAATAACTATGTCTGTAGTGGATGGTGTTTCAAGTTATAGTGTACATAGGTGATGAGGATATTAAATGCAGTCAATGAGACAAAATGTTGTATTCGGAAGTGTGATAATACATACGTGAGATATTGAGGTGATGACGAAAGCTACCTCATTCCGTCCATCCCTACAAATTGTCTTCTGCCCTTACACACTATAAATTTGTAGAATTCTTGTTCCAGCTCCATTTAACAACTCTCTGTAGCTTATTCTATCTATATCTGATCCACCTGTACATTCTGTCTTTATTATGTTCCTGTTCTTTTTTTATTTTTATTTTTACATTTAAGAAAGAAAACTTGGTGAAAGATTCTAGTAACAAATTATTCGAATTCTAAGTTTTTTTTCCTCTTTTTTTCTTCTTTTTTTCTTAGTCCCTTCAATCTGAATCCGTTCAGTTCTAAAGGTGGACACACTACTGACGAGTCCCATGCAATAGAAAAACGACAAAGACATCAAGAAGGTGATACTTGCCCAGATAAACGTTCACCCCTACAAACCAGCAATCTGGAGCTGGATTCCAAACACTACTGATCCATTCTGCTGACTTTTTTTTTTTTCCATTTCTAATATTTATGCTTATTTTTATTTTTTTTTTAAAGAATATGGAGTTTTATATTGAAATATTTTTTATCGAATTCAGTCTTGATTTGTACATACTCCAGTCTTAATATACGAATGTACTAATAGGAGAAAAAAATATATAAAAGTATTTTGGCATTTTCTAGAATATATGTATATTATTCTAAGTGTATGATGCGTGTTTCAAAACTTGCAGAATATATTTTCATGTTTAGGAATACTTTGTAACAAACAAAAAAAAAATTCAGAATATATATTTTTCCGTTTAGCATATTTTTATAATGTTTGCAGTGGCTGAGAATTTCTTATGGCAGGTTTTACTTGCGCAAAGTTTAAAATGATTGTGAAGTTCCAATGAATCCTTTGAGGCTGCCATCTGGGTGAAAAATTCCCCATTTTGGGAATGCTTTTTAGGACAATGTTGGAAAAAGAAAACTGGAATTTTTATTTAAAGTATTTTTATTTTTATCATAGAATAAGTTGGAAAGTTATTGCTTTTACCTGACCGGCATTTGATAATCAATGGATTACCATACCAGAAATTTTCATTTGTTGTATTTCCCTCCTGTTTTTCGGCTTATACAAAGTTTACTGGGTGGTGACAATATGGGAAATGTTTTCTTAACGGGTGGAATAAATACAATAATACTCTGTTGTATGGTTATAACATTGTCAACCAGATATTCTTATGGAAAATGCATACATCAAGACTACAATCAGTTATTTGCTATTGTGTTGGATGTATTTGTTATATGTATTGTTTAAACGGTTAAAATCTCAGCACCCGTCCCTTAAAGGAACACTCTAGGCACCAACATGATGTACGTGCATTTTATAGGTTTCGGCCTCATATCCATGCTGCGTTTTTATCTGCATTCAAATTTGTGTTTTTTTTGTTTGTTTTTTTTTAATCAAAGATAAACACACTTTCCTGATTTGAAGGCGTAGTTCAGAGGTTAATATGAGCTGTGCTGCTGACTTGAGTCTACCACTTAGCCAACCAGTGTCCTTATATTATGTGTATAGTATTTCATGGTCATGCAAAATACAAGGGAGCAGATAAGAGTACAGTTTTTGCCTGTGGGTGGAGTCATGTGACCAGCTCATCTAACACTGATCTCTCATTGGCTGCCTTCAGAACATTTTCTGTGTACTTCTAATCAGGAAGATGTTTTGTGAAAAGGTCAGGTGTAGCTAAGGGGGCAGGTATTAGAAATATCTTTCTTTTTTAGTAAAGCTTAAAGGACCACTATAGTGCCAGGAAAACATACTTGTTTTTCTGGCACTATAGTGCCCTGAGGGTGCCCCCACCCTCAGTGACCCCCTTCCGCCGGGCTCTGGGGAGAGGAAGGGGTTAAAATCTTACCTTTCTCCAGCGCTGGGCGGGGAACTCTCCACCTCCTCTCCGCCTCCTCTTCGGACGAATGCGCATGCGCGGCAGGAGCTGCGCGCACATTCAGCCAGTCTCATAGGAAAGCATTCATAATGCTTTCCTATGGACGCTTGCTTCTTCTCACTGTGATTTTCACAGTGAGAAGCACGCAAACGCCTCTAGCGGCTGTCAACGAAACAGCCACTTTAGGCTTTAGAGGCTGGATTAACCTATTTATAAACATAGCAGTTTCTCTGAAACTGCTATGTTTATAAAAAAAAAATGGGTTAACCCTAGCTGGACCTGGCACCCAGACTACTTCATTAAGCTGAAGTGGTCTGGGTGCCTAGAGTGGTCCTTTAAGAGATTTGAATGTGGGGAAAACACTGCGTGCACTTAAGTTGTGTACCTAGAGTGTGTGTGGAGTATATGAGCACTCTACAGTATACAATAATAAAATGTATCTAAAAAGCACACTTACCTTTTAAGCGGCAGTTCGGACACTGCTGTATGTAAGACTATATGAACACTTTGTATGTAATATGAAGCATATCTGCATTGTTTACTGCTAGAGCACATGTTTTAACGCACCACCAAGGGGAAATGTGGTTAGTTTACTAGAAATAATTCAAATAAGACACTTTTTTTTTCTGGCAAAAAATAATTATACAGTCGATAATGCTTTTGTAAATGTATTTAACAAGCAGTGGATAATTAGAAATTACCTGTCTACCCACTGTGGAGTTACAGGAACGCAATTAAATACGTGCAACAACATTAATTATAGTCATAAATGTAATTACCAATATTACAGAAGACAGCAGAAATGAAAGTTCAGCCTGAAAATATCCCTTATCAAGGAATAGTTGATTTTAAACCAATTTCCAGAATTATTTTAATTTGGTTAAGAAAAGGGCCATCAGATAATCTGTTTGCTATATATAAATGATTTAATTCAGCTTTATATGAAAAAATATATTGAAGATTTTGCAATTTGATTTGTTTAATTTCCTTTCAGGTTTCCAAGCCTGTGTTAACTTTGTTGGCAAGAAATATTCTTACCAAACACACTGGCTTGCAAATGTTTTATGTATGTTCCAATTCAACAAGATTGTCCAATGCAGATGTCACGAAATGTCCCCTAATTTTAAAGGAATACTTAAAAGGTTTTTTTTTTACCTTTTCAATGCCAGATGTCCCGATCGCTAATCTATTTTTTTTATCCATTGTCAAGTTCCCCCTACTGAAATGCTTTAGGAGTTTGGAGTGTCCCTTCGACATTTATTTTCAAACCATGCAATTTCAGTGGAGGTTTCTGTACTTGCTTGGTCTTTTTTTTTATATTTAAAGTTTCATTACAATAATGAAATATGTTATAGAAGCCTCTGCTTTTTAAAACAAAAACAGTGTTCTCCTGCAGGAGAACCAAATTAAAGTTGACTTTGAATGATACCTTCCAAGTGGGCTAAGTATGAAAGAGCAGTCAAAATTTCAATTATTTTAGTGTCTCAATGAAACTAAAAATAATCCATAATCCAATGTGTTCTCTATTGTGCAAGACTATTTCTAGCATGTACAGAGTGTTACCACAAACACTGCGGTTTATCACGACACTTGTCAGCACGTGAATACAGCTTCGACATATTCTTTTACTAGCCATGTCCATGCACAGGGCTAATATCTGGCACACCATGAAAGACCACCATGTTAACTATAGAAAGTACTGGGCATCATATCTACAACAAACTGCATAAGAATAACTACCTGTTGTTGTGAGTGACCGTGTTTGAGTTCAAACTCATTCAAACTCTTTTTTTAATTTAAGGCCAGCGTTGCCAAATGGGAAGAATACAAGACTTTTCCCTCCAGAATTTTTCCAGATTGGCTATTTTGGCCTTAAATTCGAAGTTAACTTTGAATTCTCACTTTGGTGAATAACCCTGGTAGATACAATGACATTAAAACTATAGGACACCTTGGTGCTCCTTGTAAACCTCAGGTACTCCTCTCTATGGCATGGTTTAATCATCTTACTCTTCCCTCCTCCTATATGTCACATCTATTTTTAGGGGCTATATTGTGTGTTTGGCACAGTGTTTATTTCCAGTGTGTCCTTTTGTCTCTCCCAAATCCAAGGACGCCATTACTAAACAATCCAGAGTGTTTTTTGGCTGGAGAATGTGATGCAGTCTTTGCATTTCTGTAACTAGATGGGCATGTCCATCTGTCTCATTTGGTTTCGGATGGAAAGCATTTGCTGGATGACCTACACGTTAGCTTAGGTCACCACCCTCTTTTCTTATAGGTATATTTCTCATTTTATTAGCTCCATCCCGATGCTTTACTTAATGAATAGATAGCCCGCTGCTTTTGAGACCCTCAGTCAACGAAGGGAGCACTTGTGCAGAGTTATCTACCTGCTTTACACAAAACTACTGTTAAATAAGCCTCTACCTCAACCATGGTTTGTGAGGGAGTGGGATATAGAGTTGGACATCTACTTCAGAGAGGAACAGTAGCAGGTAGAGAGCTCCAGTAATGCTACATACTCTAACTTATGAAGGAGATGCTTTTTATCCCCAGCACCATGATGCATATATGGTGGTCGTGCCCAATCATTTTTGGAAAGTGGTCTGCAGGCACATAGAGAACATTATTGTTTCCAAAGTTCCTTTTACCCCAGAAACAGTGCTACTACAACACGCTACCCCTCCCTTAGACACATACATGAACTCCCTCACTAAACATCTCTTGACAACAAAAAGCATAGTCTTGCTCTTTTTGTGTCAAAAGCTTGCTCCTAGCATTAAAGGTTGAGAGGGTTGAAAAAACTTTTCAAGCCATATTTGCTTATTCTTTTTTGATCTATGACCAATATGGGGCCATTTGGTCTCCATGGATTCAATACATTTCTGGTCAACCATCCTAGTTGACACATTCCTCGCCAATATGCTGTAATAGCCTCCCTCTCCCCCCCCCCCCTTTTTCTTTTTCATCTTCTTCATTGTCTCCTCTCTATCTTGTCCTTTGACATGACAAAAGTATCATCCTCTAGAAGATGAAATTTCATATGGTTTTTAGGAACTCTTTGCTGCCACTCATGGCTCACCTATCCAAGTTTCTGTAACTGTGATATTATGTCCTGTCCAATTTTGCCTTCCTTTGCTTTGTAATGTAAAATTATTAAATAAAGATTTGCAAAAAAAAGAAAAAAAAAAAAAGAAAGCCTTTCCACATTTTGAAAACCTACTATTTTACTTATTAAGGACAGCAATGAAAACAATAGGTTTTTCACATTTCCCAAGAAAGTTGATTGATCAGTTTCCTTTTTGTCTCCACTGGGAGTCTTAATAAAAGTATTCTGGGTCCATTAATAATGATTAAAGGTTTTTTTTTTTTTTTAAATAAATTGTCACAATGTATATATTTTTTAAAGAATATAATTACCCTTTCCAGGATAACATATATGTTTATGTTCATATATTCTTGGGAAGGCTTTTGGAATTTGAAACTAGTTCCATGTGTATTGCCCTAATTTGTTAGTTTTCTTGATTCTGGGTCAGCATTCTCAAAGTGTGGCAGTTGCCAGGAGCATTCAAATTGTTTCCATTGTGACTGCCCACATTTAGAACTTTGCCTGTAAATTGTGTTTTATACAACACCCCAGATACCACTTTGTCAAGGTCCATCATGTATTTTTTTTATTTTTTTATTTTATGGGAACCAGCGGGACTGGGTGCAAAGTATCATGTTACCATTGTGTTATGAGCATGGCATGTTGTGTGGTCTGGATACAGTGCAAAGAGTATAGCAGATGCGTCTTATGGACATTTTAAGTTAACATCCAGAGCCCTTATGTTTATGTGTATCGTATATGCAGCTAGAGCAATATGTTTCTACCTCCCTCTAAAATGAAGAATTTGCCTGTTTTTGTTTCTTCTGTATTGCAAAAAAAAAAAAAATGTATATCCAACACCACATTTTTAATAAATTAAAGAATCGCAGTAAAAGTATGTCCTTGTCTTTGTTAATGGAAATAATGTAAGTGACCACACATAGAAGATTATTACATGGTTTAATATACTGACAAAATATCCCCAGTCATATTAACTGAAGGGTTATTTACGAATTTGGTAATGGAGAGTTTAAACACAAGTGAAGGGTCTTTTTCTAATTAAGTTTATCCTGCTATTTGCTGTGGCCTCATCAGATGTCAACAATTCCCTGATCAGTGAGTATATTTGTGAATAAGGATCGCAATAAACATTAACCAAGAATTAATCAGACATATCAAGAAGATACAATTTTAATACTTTTTAGAACGATTTGTAAATGTTCTTTGATCTTAACAATAACATTGCTATTGAACTGTACAGAAAAATATATATATTGCTAACTCAAACTATAACACTAATAATTAAAATTAAGAAACTCATAAAGATTTTTCAGTTTATATAAAACCATAGAAGTTTAAAGGCACAGTCTAAGCATGCTAACCACTACATGAATGTTATGATACTATTACACTGCAGTCATCCTCTGCTGGTTATTCTTGTTTAAAATAATTCATAACTGGACATGTTGCCCTCTGCTTTGATTCAGAAAATATGAATGTTTCACTTGCATATTATCCATGCAAAGTCATCCAGCAATAGTTGACAATGTAAAAATACAAATGATATCCAATATTCACCAAAATTACAGTATATGGGGGGAAAAGCTACTTAGCTTATGGAACAGCTTCCCAAGGTCCCTTCCCTGATGGTGACCTCACATAGACAAGATGTATAAAGAAAATTGGGGTACAGCTGGATATAAACTCCAGATGAAAAAAAAGCCTTAAAGTTGCCTTCCCCTCCAGGAGAGGTCTGGATCCTCGATCATCTTATCACTCTCTGGATCAAAGTTAGCAGTCAGGTAGGTAAGTATAAAACGGTTTATTTGCTACAAAATCCAATCATAAAGAGATTTGGTAAAAACAGTGGGATATCACCGGTCCTACGTGTTTCGTTTCTATAGAAACTTCCTCAGGGGCCACCTTTTGTACAATTGCAATCATAAAATATATAACCATAAAATGTCCTACTGATCACTTTACACCATCTTCTTAAATAGGGATATTTCTGATTTCCTCCGGTGTGTGTTCATGGGAGTTTTCTTCTAATCCACCAACAGGTGAACTCTATTTCGCCTCCCCACCACTGTTCCTAGTTGTTTTAATTACTCCGTGTTACTGGTCTACATCTGGCTTGCGTTCCACTTCCTCCTTCGGTGCGTTCCAGATTTTCATTAGAGCTTTATTGTTGTCTCTGTCTACTAGGAAAAAAGGAATTAACTCAATAGCAAATATCATCTATTCATATTTCAACCACTTTAACTTATTTAATTAGATGGAAATTCTAGTCGGTACAACCCAGTAGTTATAAAGTTATACCCAATCTATTTCATGTACTTATATTATTATTTTGTTTTTATAGCCCCACATAACAAGCCTAAATCTATGGGGAAAAATATCCAATATTTCTAGTTAGAAGACATTTGTCTATTATAAATTAATATATATTAGCATGTGTTGCTTGTTTCCAAAAGCTGGATCATGAGCCATGCAGATTGACTCATTATAACAACAAAATAAAAGAAAATTTAAGAAAAAAATAAATATATATAAAAATAAATAAATATACAAATAAAAATGAAAAATATGAATAAAAACAAACAAGACTACTAAAATATAAATAAAACAAAAAAATATTTATTATAAGATTACATCATATATTTCAACCTGTCCCGTGAGGCTCATCTCCATATTTATATCTTCCAAATCAATATCTGCATTTAATCCACTCAGTTCCAGTGTCTGTAATTTGTGTATCCGAAAGGTTTCACGTTGGGACAGAAATCTCAATCTGTCCCCTCCCCTCCAATGTGGGTCATTTTTTTTCTATTCCAATACACATAATAGAAATAATAATGATCCTAAGGCACACCAAGGTTTTGCACATAAGAAAAGGGTTTATTCATGCATAAAGAGTATATCAAAATATCTTGACAGAAAGAAAGTGCATAGTATAGTGCATAACCAATTTATAGTACCAAAACCACAGTAATAATAAAGTGCTAAATGCAAACACCCATTAAAAAGGGTATATTGACCAAGAGCAGGAGAAATGAAAACCTCAAAGTTTTGGCTATGAAGCCTTCCTCTGGGGGACCTCTTCCAATACACACCAGTTCTTTGGGATCAAACATTGGACAGGAATTACAGTGCACCGGAACCGAATTTTAAATTACATTTCTTTCTAAATGTTATAGGATTTTTTGGTAAGATCGTACTTAACACTGGATCCTGCAAAAGAATAGGCCAATGTTTAGCCAAGCCCCTTTTAATCTTCCAATAATCTTTATTGTATCCAATAAAAAAAAACTTTGTTGAAAGTGTTTTTCTTGAATGTTATTAGGTTTATCCATAAGTAACGTATTTCTTTCTTTCCTCTGGCTATTTTATTTCCTTTTCTATAGAGTTCTTCTTATAGCCCTTCTGTAAAAGTTTATTTTTGATATAATTAGCCTGTAGTTCATAGTCTCGAGTGTTGGAACAATTTCTTCTCACTCGATCGAACTGGCTTCTGACTATACCTCTAAGCCATGGCTTGTGATGACACCTTCTACAATGCACGTAGCTGTTGCCATTAGTCAGTGTGAAGAAACAACGTGATCTAACATCTCTATCTTCATTGAATAGAGTTATGTCTAAAAAATTAATTGTATATTTATTCCATTCAGGGGTAAATATTAGGTTAAATGAGTTTTGGTTTAATTATTGAACAAAAGAGCTAAATTATTGTGGGGAGCCACCACAGATGATCAATTAATCATCTATAAAGCGACGCCATAGCACCAGGCTTGCCCTCCAGTCATGATCCGACTTTACCCATAGGTCCTCCCATTTTCTCATATAGATATTGGCATAACTGGGGGCGAACCTGGTGCCCATGTTGCTCCCTGCAATTTGCAGAAATTTCTTTCCATAGAAAAAAAAATTGTTGTGTTCTAATATGAATTTTACTGAAATTAGGATAAAATCTCTAATACCTGGTTCTAAGTTATGGTCTTCCATCAGAAAATAGGTGATAGCATCAAACCCCAAATCATGTTTAATCACAGTATATAACAATGTAACATCAAGAGTCGCCCAACTATAATTTTTCTGCCATTCTATATTTTCTAGCTCCTGTAGAATGGATTTAGTATCCTTGATGTATGATTTGGATACTTGGGCAAATCCTTGCAAATACGAATTTATCCCACTAATAACGGGCCGTCCAGGGGGAGAACATAAACATTTATGTAACTTTGGCAAAATGTATAAAATGGGTATAACTGGGCTCTTTTGAAACAAGAAATCAACATTTTGATGTGTGATTATGTTTTCATCTCTAGCTTTCATCAAAAGTAATTGCAATTTAAATTTGAATTCTTGGATGGGATCTTTTTAAAATTTTAATAGATTAATATCATTAAGAATATTATTTGATTCTAATATATAGCTGGAGCAAATTTCAAACCTATCTCTAAAATGGATAACTCCATATCTGATAAACTTTAACCAGAGAGATTAAAAATGTCTTTCAGTTTCTGTTCTTGGTAGAATCTGCTCTCTTTCTGGATGTTTATTGCATCTTCCTCGACCCTCATTCCCTTTATTGGTGATTCTCTCTGTAATGTGGAGAATCTGTTGTGATGTTCCCAACCTTTCTTCCTTGGCTGAAAGTAGTTGGTTATCATTGTACTTTTTGGATTTGCTCTAATGAAAATTTTGAATGCACCGAAGGATGAAGTGGAACGGAAGCCTCATGTAGACTAGTTACACGGAGAAAACTCACAGCGGTAATTAAAACAACTAGGAACAGCAGTGGGGAGGCGAAACAGATTTCACCTATTGGTGGACTAGAAGAAAACCCCCACGAACACACCAGAGGCAATCAGAAATATCCCTATGTAAGAAACAGGTGTAAAGGGATGGGTAGGACATTTTATTGTTAAATGTTTTATGATTGTAATTGTACAAAAGGTGGTCTCTGAGGAAGTTTCTATAGAAACGAAACGCATAGGACCGGTGATATACCTCTATTTTTACCATATCTTTTTATGATTGGATTTTGTATCAAATAAACCATTTTATATGGTTTAATTTAATTCTACCTGATTCCTAACTTTGATCCAGACAGCGATAAGCTGATTGAGGATCCAGACCTCCCCTGGTGGGGAAGGCAACTTTAAGGTGTTTTTTTTTCATCTGGAGTTTATATCCAGCTGTATCCCAATTTTCTGTATATATACAGTTGACAATGTGTCATTTTTTTTGATTGTTGTATTGTAATTTGCAATAATGGAAGGACATAATAACTTTAAAGGCACCAAGACCACTTCAGCTCATTGAAGTGGTCTGGGTGCAGTGTCCCTATTGCACCCAGTGCTGCAATGAAAAACATAACAGTTCCAAAGAAAATGCAATGTTTACAACGCAGCACAAAGTCTGCCTCCAGTGGCTGTCTACCAGGCAGCCACTAGAAGCTCCTCCTGGATATTTACAGACTTTTGATCTGGTAACTGACGTTAGACATCCTTACGCTCTGCATGAGGACATCCAGCGACAGTTATTTATCCATATGAAAGCACTGATTAAATGCTTTACTATGGAGAGGCATAATGCGCGTGCGGCACTCACTGCGCATGCGCATTAGTGCCCGCTCGTCGAGGGACGTCGGAGGAGGTGGAGATGCAAACCAGCGCTGAGGGTGGGGGGAGGCAGAGGGAGCTATACAGCTTTGTATTCCTGGTAATATAGTATTCTATTAAGGCCTAATGAAAGTGCAACGCCCCTGTCATTTTAGCCTTTTCGCCATGTCAAGCATTGCTGTTCAATAGATATGGTAATATTTCCAACGCAGGGCTAAATACTAGTGCATCTCTTCCTGACAATGTGAGAATGGAGTCAGATTCGATTCTCTCATGACTCCTTATCTGGATGCTTCTCAGAGAGCATTTTAATGGACGAGAACAGTTCCTCTTTAAACAAACTCTTAGCTTAATCCAAATATACACTAATAGAAGAGACAGATCTTTAGGAGTTAAATTAGATATTTCAGAGGTGTTCGAGACCAATGTTTCAATCCAAGAACAATGTAATAAAGTATAACATAGAGGAGAGTCAGAGCATGGTCTGTCAGCAAGACTTACAGCAGCTGGAATCCGAAAAATCTGAGCAGGGCACTTGGCAAATGAGATGTTCATTACACCAAAAGCAAGTAACTGTAAAAATATGTGACCAGGGTTTCAAATGGAGTTTATCAGTACAGTAATATCAGCAAACAGTATAAGCATGAATGTTGTTGGTTTACCATGAGCGGGGTTCAACGAGTAAGCCCTTCAGGATGGAATGAGTAGTGAAATTACTTGGCAGGACCAGGAGTTGAGGCTCAAATAGAACAAGTTTACACAAACACATGAAGTATAATTGAGACTTGATAAGTGAGCATAGATTTATTGTAGACGTGGGTTTAAAGAGGCAAAAGAAAGGTGGATGCTGAAAATGATTACCCTTTCCCGTGGAGACATTATGGTACAATGAAATGCTTTGTATGCAAGTGTCAGGATTATAATTAATCCAGCATGCAGAATAGTATCACACCTAGGACTAAGGATAACGTTTAACTGGATCTTAGAATGGCCGGACTTAAAGTACCAGAGAACAGTCAAAATACTTCCCGAGGTCAGGGACACAGAACGTGACACAATGATGAGGAAAGCCAGAAGTCAAGAATACCAGAAATCAGAGAAGTCAAAACAAAGCCAAAGTCAAATACCAGAAAAAACACGATCAGGTACACACTCTCGGATAACCAGCTAGTAGAAACCACAACAGGGTTAAAATAACCCTCTTGAGGCTGGAAATGGTTGTCTCTCGCCTCTGACTCCAAAACGTGCGTGCGCGACTATGACGTGACATCGCACGCACGTTGGCGCCATATTTGATGTGGGCGAATATCAGTTTCCTATTAAAACTGGAACTGCAGCAGCTGATGTCTCTAGTAATGTCGTACTTGCTGGGGACCAGAACGTAAGGAGGTCGTGCAGCGGTTTGCAGCAACCAATGTAAGTATACAATATTTCTGTCGGCATGGCCACTTAATTTATGCGCGGCCACGTCGGCAGAAGAACGGGGAGCCATGACAGCAAGTCAGCCAAGAGCATGAGACCTTCATGCTTTTATGTAAAACCAAAAATGGAGCAATCACCATGAAACCT